ATCTTCATAATAACCCATGGGTAAGAATGCCCAATAGGATGGGATGTTTCCATGAGATAAACACACTACATTACAGGCAGTGGGGATCTCCCCATACACATTCACTCCATGCCAGATTCCAGAGAAAGACAACAGCAGCAAACATGTAAAGGCACAGCAGAAGCAACAGACATTCTGGGGTCTGTGGTCTCAGACCTTGCCTATCCAAGGTTCAGCCATCAGGGATATTCCTCCTGATGGGCTGACACCTGAACTTCAGTTGCCGCCTGCTGCTCCTCTGACGTGGCCCCCGGTTTCAGAGATCATGGAGACTGCTTCCCCAGGTTCAAAATCGGGGAGGGGGTATGTCACAGGCTCAGTGAGCCGGATGTCTTCCACCCGAAGCTGTGGTACAGGCTACCCAGAGACGAAATACACTGAAAGCACATGGCTGGTTTCATCTCTCGGCTAGAGAGGTTTGTTGCAGGATGCACTGTATCTTGGGTCTCACCTGTATCTGATTCAGATGGTGTTTGTGATCATTTTAAATGGTCAACCTGATGCAGTAGAACCACCCAAGAAGAGACTCTATTGATTATGTAGCTCTACATACTATTCACTATGTAGCTCTGGCTGGCCTAGAACTTGTTATGTAGAGCAGGCTGGCCTCAAACTCAGAGACCTGCCTGCCTCTGCCTCCTGAGTGCTAGAATAAAGGTGTGCCCAGCAAAAACAAAGTCTTAATTAAGAGTTGACTAGACCAGGTGCGGTGGTGCTTACCTTTAGTCCCTGGTTTACAAGTCTTCCTTCCTGTACACACCTTTTTTTTTTTTTTTTTTTTTTTTTTTTTTTGGTTTTATGAGACAGGGTTTCTCTGTATTGTTTCGGAGGCTATCGGTCCAGCCCGGCCTCGAACTCACAGAGATCCATCTGCCTCTGCCTCCCGAGTGCTGGGATTAAAGGCGTGTGCCACCACCTCCCGGCTCCTGTACACACCTTTAATCCCAGCACTCAGGAGGCAGAGGCAGGCAGATCTCTGTGATTTCGAGGCCAGCCTGGTCTACAGAGTGAGTTCCAGGATAGGATCCTAAGGTACACAGAGAAACCCTGTCTTGAAAAACAAAGAAGTTGTCGAAATTAGGTTTGTCCTTGGCATGCCTGTGGGGGATAATCTTGATGGTTAATTGATATGCGAAGATCCAACCCACTGTGAGCAGCACTGTTCCTTAAGCCAAAGCTTCTGAGCTATATGAGGAGTGACCTTAGGTGGGTAGGTAATTAGGACATGATCTGCTTAGCCTTTCTGCCCTCCAAAGTCATAACGATAAGATGGCCATTTATAGCATGTGTAACGGCATATGCTGGTCACATCCGTACTGGGTAGCTAGAGTCAGGAGGATGTGTTACACAGTGCGTTCAAGCCTTGCTACATAACAAGACCCAAGTTAGAAAACAAATCAAAGATGGTAGGATTGGGCCTCAGCGAACATGGAATCTCTCAGGGTCCTGATCTTGGGCTTCCTGTCCTGCAGAATATGGTATTCCATCATCATAGCCAAGTGACTTACACAAGTGCCGTTCCACACACATTTGTGCTTGGAGGCATCTCGAGCTGAAACCATTCATGCCCACGTTCACACCACAGATGTAGACTAAAATGATCACTTATTTTTGGTAACCAGTAGATGTGGCTGGGATTGTTATTAAGAAGACTTATTTGGGGCTGGAGAGATGGCCCAGCAGTTAAGGAGCACTGACTGCTCTTCCAGAGGATCCAGGTTCAATTTCTAGCACCCTCATGGCAGCTCACAACTGTCTGTAACTCCAAAATCTGATAGCCTCACACAGACATACATGTAGGCAAAACACCAATGCACATAAAATAAATAAATTTTAAAAAGAACTACTCTAAAAAAAATTTATTTCTTTTTTTTCAACTTCAAAAAAACCTTATTTCTAAAGCAGATGGTTTTACGGGGCTTTCATGGTTAGCACTCATTTGATTGCAGTTTATAATTGTATTGTCATATGGAGTTTGAGAAATAGATTTCTTTTTCAGGATGCTTTATTGATTCCCAGTTCATGCTGCTGCATATAATGCACTCGTCTCCCAATGGTGAGCGCTAGCTCATTTTCCCCACTTGTTTAACCAGCTGGGGTAGTGGAGACTTGTCATGGGCGTCTTTTTCTTGTTTCACCCATGTGACCTTCATTTTCTGCAGGGCAGGGATGTGTTCATTATACCAAGTTCTTAAAAAGCAAGCAACCGTGCCAACAGTTTGGTGAAAGTTCCCTGGGAATGTTATAAAGGAAGGCTTGTTTTTTTTTTAATTGTTGTTGTTTGTTTGTTTTGTTTTGTTTTGTTTTTCAAGACAGGGTTTCTCTGTGTAACTTTGGAGCCTATCCTGGCACTAGCTCTGTAGACCAGGCTGGCCTGGAACTCATGGAAATCCTCCTGCCTCAGCCTCCTGAGTGCTGGGATTAAAGGTGTGCACAGGAAGGAAGACTTGGACAGTCTGAGCTGTTGGTGGTATGCACCCTGCAGAGCTGGGCGCTGCTTATGCAAGTCTCCTGGCTGCAGAGAGGATGAGAAAAGTCAGAGGGGGCAGTAAAGGAAGCTGCTGGACAGTAGCCAGTCTCTGTTTTATTTATCTAGAGATGTGTGTGTGTGTGTGTGTGTGAGTGTGTATGTCGGGGGATGGGGTGCAGAGGAGTCACCCTACTAGCTCTGACACGTGGTTTATCATCCTCAGAGACTGCTCAAGTAGGCATAGGCATGCCCTTTATACCTCTAGCTTCTACTGCCAAATAGTGACTGACAACAGAAATGTTAATTCCCAAGTTGTAAGGGGGAAAAAAGGCTCCTCAGAAATAAAGAGAAGTTGTCTCTAGTTTGGGGCCAAGAATGAAAAGAACTGGACTGTGGTTTCAGCTTAATTGGCACTTGGCTTTGGATAAATTGCCTCCCCTTGCACATCCGCTTGTGAAACACAGGAGTTGAACACATGGACTCCTCAGTCCTTTACATCTCTCATGTCCTCAGTTTTTGATTATTTAGTGAGGTTTCTCCCCACATTTGTAGTGTCTTATTAAATAATAAATGTGAACATTGCTGCTGATTTCCTCTGGCTCTGGGAAACTGACTTGCAATGTTTTCACCAACAGATAATCAAAACATATATGTATGTGTGTGTATTAGTCTTTGATAATTCCATATGTGTATATGTAATGATCAGGTAAACCCCCAAGTACTCCCTCAAGTTTCCTTGTATCCTCCCCCCAGTACCCCTACTAACTGAGCCTTGTTTTGGTTTTTCCTTTTTCACTTTCTTCTTTCCTTCTTCCCTTCCTTCCTTCCTCCTTCTTTCCTTCCTTCCTTCCTTTTTTCTTCTTTTGGGTAAGTCAGTAAGACCAACGATTGCTGCCCATACATGCATGGGTATGAGGCCATCCGCTAGAATATTTACCAGTGGGCACACCAACAAAGAAACACGCTTTTCCCTTCCCCAGCAACTACCAGCTGCCAGTAACTCCTCAGTAAAGGGTGGGGCCTGGAGACCCCCTTCCCCATCGGTATGGGAATTGTGGCTAGCTTGATCTTGTGCGGGTAGCCATGGGTGGTGCCACCTGAATGTGATAAGATAGTTAGCCATGCCACATCCAGCGTTTCACAGTAGTCCTCCAGTCATCCCCCAGCTTTTACATTCCTTCCACTTTTTCTGCGATGCTCCCCGAGGCTTGGCAGAGGGTGGGGGCTGATAGAGATACCCCATTTAGGGCTGAGCACAAACTAACTGCTTGACAAAGGCTGAAAGCCCAGGTCCCTTTAAATTGAATCGATATTAAGTTTGAGTATTCTGTGTCATTTTAAGAAAGTTGTTGCCGGGTGTTGGTGGCGCACGCCTTTAATCCCAGCACTCGGGAGGCAGAGGCAGGCGGATCTCTGTGAGTTCGAGACCAGCCTGGACTACCAAGCGAGTTCCAGGACAGCCTCCAAAGCCACAGAGAAACCCTGTCTCGAAAAACCAAAAAAAAAAAAGAAAAAAGAAAAAAGAAAGAAAGTTGTGCATGGTGTTAGACCTGTCAGATCCTACTGATTCTGTTGTTAGTTCTCAAAACTCTGCACATGAATTCGGATACCACCCCAGAAGTTTTACTGGAATGGAATTTGGGGAAAACTTTGAGAAACCAAGAGTCAGAGTTGGTTGTTTGCTTTCTCTAGTTGTAGTTTTCATGCTACATGAACTAGCAGCTTATGCCTGCCTTAGGGACGCTAACCTCTCAGAGGAAACCGTCAAGACCACTACTACTTAATCACCAACTTTACTGTAAGTCACGTGGATTCCTAGGTTAGTTAGGAGCCCTTTGGCTACAGTTAGCAGAGATCCAGTTCAAACTAGTTGGAGTAAGAAGGAAATTGTTGATTCACATAACTAAATACAGAGAAACTGTGTGCTCAGGGTCAGTACCTTCCCCGTGCTGTGTGCTCTGAATTACTTCAGTTGCCCTTTCATTATGAAAAGAAATATTACTTTTTCTGCATTGCATTCATGTACCACATTGTGGGGGTTTCTCAGCAATGATGCTTCTACATTTGGGGCCCAGATAACTTTCTATTGTGAGACTGCCCTGTGCATTACAGCATGTTCTGCAACCTCATTGCCTAAATAGTATCTGGATTGTGCTAATCAAAACTGTCCTCAGATAGCTCTCAAGTAGGAGTGGAGGACAAATCCACCCCAGCTGAGAACCACTGTCTGAAAGGAGGCTAACCAGTTTTAGTAAGTGGCTTATCTGTATTGTGTTCCTAGAAAATCTCAAGGGAAGGCATTCTTCTCTTTTTGGCTCGACCTTAGGTCACTCCCCCATCCTGGAACCTATCACTGGCAAGGGAAGTACACATCCTTCAGACTAATCCCACCCTGACTGAGAAAGTCTTGAAGGGCACTAAAGGCCAAGGAGTCTGGCAGGCCTGCTATACCACATTCTAAATACCCCTCTTTCCCCCTTCTCTCTCTCAGTGAGGATTATGGAAAAAACTTTAAGGATATTACAAATCTCATCAATAACACCTTCATTCGGACAGAATTTGGCATGGCTATTGGTCCTGAGAACTCCGGAAAGGTGAGACTCATTCCTGCATGTGAAGTAGGTACTCCTTGCCATCTGAAAGATGTTAGTGTTGGAAAGACCCAGGGGTTCACAGTATTATAATTAGTTTAAATTGTCAACATGACACAGTCTAGAGTCAATCAAGAGGAGTGTCAGTGGATGATTGTATCAAAGTGGCCTGTGGGCATGTCTCTGGGGGGTTGTCTATATCAAACTGGCCTGTGGGCATGTCTCTGGGGGGTTGTCTTGATTGCATTAATAAAATGTGGGAAGACCTAGCCCAGTGTGGGCAGCACAATTCCCTAGGCAGAGGCGCATAGACTGTGCGTGAGGAAAGGGTGCTAAGCACAAGTGGGCATGCGTACTTGTAGTCACTCTCTGCTTTTGGCTGTGGATGTAACCAGCTGCTTCAAATTCTTGTCTTGGCTTCCACACAATGATGGATTGTAACCTGGAATTGTAAGCCAAATAAACCCTTCCTCCCCTACGCTGTTTTTTATCAGGGTGTTTTATCACAGCAACAGACATGCAGTTAGGATAGCATTTTAGTTTGGTATTGCTATATTTTAAAATTAAACATTATTTGATACTGATTGTCTAGGGTTTCTGTTGCTGTGAAGAGACACCATGTCTAAAGCACCTCTTTTAATACTAAACTGGGGTGACTTGCTTACATTTTCAGAGGTTTAGTCCATGATCATCATGATGGCTTGCAGGCAGACATGGTTCTGGAGAAGGAATTGAGAGTCTTACATTCTGACCTGCAGGCAGCAGGTCACACTGTTGAAGCTTGAATAAAGGAGACCTCAAAGCCCACCCCAACAGTGACACACTTCCTCCAACAGGGCCACAGATAATCCAACAAAGCCACACCTCCTAATAATGCCACTCCCTATGAGCTTATGGGGGCTAATTACATTCAAACTACCACACTGATCATAAGAGTGGGGTTTACCACATTTTTTTTTCTAGTTCACATCCAAGATGCATCAAAACCTTTTATACTTACTTGGTAGTTGTTCAGCACTGCAACATGTACTCCCTTTGACAACATTGTAGTCTTTAGGGAAACTACATCTCAAAACTAACCAGAGTTTAAAAAAATCACAGGCATGCAGCATTGGCTCAATTGAGGATATCTGTCTTATAAGTATAAAACTTGGAGACAAACACACACACACATAGACAGACACACATAGACAGACACACACATAGACAGACAGACACACATAGACAGACACACACATAGACAGATACACACATAGACACACAGACAGACAGACACACATAGATACACACATAGACAGACAGACAGACAGACAGACACACACACACACACACACACACACAAACACACGCACGCACGCTTCTGCAGGACCATCCCCTGCTCTCACGATGCTCTCCCTAACCCTGGCCTTTCCTCTCCCCCGGCCAGGTGATATTAACAGCAGAGGTATCTGGGGGAAGCCGAGGAGGGCGAGTGTTCAGGTCATCAGACTTCGCCAAGAACTTTGTGCAGACAGACCTGCCCTTCCATCCTCTGACTCAGATGATGTACAGCCCTCGGAATTCCGATTACCTGCTCGCTCTCAGCACTGAGGTGAGTCCAGTTGAACCTGCTTTCCTTGGTTACAGCAGCACAGTGCACCGGCTCTAAAGGATCCTCTAGTGTGCTGCATTAGACTTTTCCCCAGAGTCTACCTATGATGAAACGGGGGCGGGGCTTTACACTCTGCTCCCATCTGGGCGTGGCTTCACATACCATCTCTTCCAGGTACCTATGATGTATAGTTGTCATCACATGGTTTTTTAATGAATGAATGTCGGCTGCTGCTGGAATAATGAAGTGGAGAACAGTTTGTAGTCATCATTCTTGAACTACAAAGGACAAGTATAAATTGTCACCCTCCTAAGACTGTCTCTGTTGCCAGAGGAGAGGAAGTTGAGGAGAACAGAACTGAAGACTGATCCTGCCGAGAAGGCCCCAGTCAGTTTCTGCTGAGCCAGGGAAACCGTCCCACCCCCATGAGGCTGCTCAGTGAGCTCCTGTTGTCAATACATTTGACAGACATGTGTTCTTTAATGCTGCATTTCAAAGCCGTGGCCAGTCCTGCCTCCAGGGACCTCCATTTGCTTGACTCTGTGACTCCATTCTCTTTGACTATTCTACCTTTCTAGATGCTCCTTCTTGGTGGTCTCTCTCTTAAACTCCGTTCAACTTACCTTAACTGCCTCCTGCTCGTTTTGCACTGAGTAACCACTTAGAATGTAAATACCCTCACATCTTTACCTGTGGCTCTGGCTTCCCAGAGGCCATCAGATTCCGGTCCTGCTGACCCCAGGTGTCTCCAGGTGTGTGTCCCACAGGCAGCTTCGACTCATTCCCAACTGAGCTCTGCTCCTCTCTCAGGCATGTTCCTACAGTATTTATAGTAATTACACACACACACACACACACACACACACACACACACACACACACACACACACACACACGACTATTGGAAAAGTCAGTTCTAGGCTGGCTTTATTTCTGGCTGATCACATTCCTCAAGGCCATGGTTGAAGGCCTCATCAACTCTTACTGAATCAACTGACACTTCTGGCTGGGAAACTCTGAAATCTATTTTCCCCATTCTCATTGGTTGTGACCCAAAAAAGTGAAGCTGTCATTCTTCTCTGAGAGTGCCCTCCTGCTGAGAGTTCACAGACAATAAAAACCAGTTCCTCCACCTAACCTCAAAGTTCTCCTCAATCTTTGATTATCAGCTCCGGGGCTTCTCACCTTGGGATTTTGCACTACTGATGTCCTTTGACCTTCATGCTCCTCCGTGTTTGCCCCGTCCTGCCTTCACTGGTCCTCATTTGTCTTTCTTCACTAGCACTTCCTGCTTCCGTTTGATCGTACCACTCATCATCTCCGTCAGTGCAGGGTTCTTCAGTCACTCATCTCTGTGCATGGCGCCTCCACTCCCCCCCTCTACACATCCATAACACCTGGTGGTAGTGAGCTTTCTTCTCGGTGCCCCTCGTTAAACTGAGATCCTTGAGAGGCAGGAATCGCAGTGTCTGGTGCGGTACCTGGGGGAGGTGTTTTATATGAACTTGTTCTCAGTTCCAGGACTTGAGGAGCCTGAGCAATATGCATGCATTTGTGTGTGTGTGTGTGTGTGTGTGTGTATACATTCATGCACACCATGCGTGTGCACGTGTGTGTGCATGTGTATGTGTGTGCATGAACGTGTTGCTAAGACAGCTCTAACATGTGTTTCTACTATGGATGTGGATAGATTATTAAAGGTCATATAAAACAGCTGCACAGAATAAAGCTGGAATTTTGATAAGTCATTTATAATCTTTCAGAATGGCCTGTGGGTGTCCAAGAATTTTGGAGAAAAATGGGAAGAAATCCACAAAGCAGTCTGTTTGGCCAAATGGTGAGTAACACAAGACTCCATCTGTGCAGAGCCCTAAACCTTAGTGCTGCCAAAAGTCACATGAATAAATAGCAAGCACTTGCTATGTGCCAAGTGCTCTTCAGGGTCCCGTAAGGGACACTGAGAGGGCTGGGACAGCGACCTGGCCCTAGAAGAGCTTCTATTTGTGTTGGAAAAGAGGATTTCGTCTCAATGAATGCTGTAAGGCATGTGACTGCTGCCTGCAAAGGGTTTTTCTGCAGAGCTGGTGACTCCACTGGGCTGTAAAGTGGAGCGTTAAGGTGGGGTCTTTGGTACTTCTCTATAGCCAGTCTCCCACTTCCTTGTCTAGCACTCCACTCCAGTTGCGTAAAACATAGTGCGAACTCAGGAAGAGCTGAAAGACTGCGCAAGTGCCACCATTTGCAGCAAGGAAACGCTCTCTTCCGCTGGCAGCCTGCCCTGCCCCTCCGTGCCTGCCCGTGTACCAGAGGCAGCTCTGACTTAGGAGTGAAGCCGCTTTTGTTCCAGCCAGGCTCTGTCACTAGGCAGTGGCTTTACCTCTCTGGGCTTCAGTCTCGCCCTTGGTGAAGGGAGGGTTCTTTGCAGAATTTGGAGGGTGATGAAGCAGGAATTGAGTCGGCAGCCTCAGCCCTCCCACATTCTGCTCGCCCAGAACTGTGTTCTGAGTGTCTTCCACTGACTAATTGCAACAAATCTGGTAATCAGTTTACAGCAGATCGCTGCTGGAGATGAGCTACGGGGCTGCCAGCAGCAAGCACATGACAGCGTTAGAATGACAGCCTGAAATCTGGAAGCAGGCAGGAGAGCCATGGAAAAACAGACCAAACTCAGCACACAATGACCGTGTTAGATCAAGGAGGACACTTGCTCCGACAACATCTGGGAGAACACTGTATTATGACTTCATATGATTAATGTTCATGGCCATGACCCCAAATCCCAAGAGTTTAATGTGTTCTACTTAGGGAACCAGAAGAAATAAATCCTACATATTTGAAATATATCCACTAAAATCAGTTAAAATACTAGCTATGCTACTTAAGTGAGGTGGGCCTTTTCCAGACACACTCATTAAATGAGGACTTTAGAGTGCTACTGTGTACACGCCACATCTGATCATGTTTAGTCAGTGGTGTGCACACGCCACATCTCATTTCATGTTACGTGTTTTAATCAGGGGTGTTGGTACCGATAGGCCTTAACAGCAAGTTACCAAATCACTTCTAACAGAACTAAAATACTCATATTATGTTTGAGGCATGACTAACCTTAGTCATTGAAGTTCATCTTTACAATAAAAGGCTGTTTTGAAGTGATATTTTATTGCATATGCAAGGTTTCTTTGTTGTGTATATGTAGTGCTTTGTTTTGAGAGTCTCTGTGTAGCTCCAGCTGTCCTGGAACTTGTTATATAAACCAGATTGGCCTCAAACTCACAGAGATGCACTTGCCTCTGTCTCCTGAGTGCTGAGATCAAAGGTATGTGCCAGCTTTACACAAGGTTTTGATGAGAGATGCCCTTCTGTGTATGTTTCTCTTATTGATTGATGAATAAATCACTGTTTGGCTTGGCCAATAGAGACAGGAAGATAGTCAGGACTAGGAGTCAGGAGAATTCTAGGAAAGGTAGGCAGGGAGAAACGGAGAGGAGACGCCATGTAGCCGAGGAAGCAGTAACAGGTCTGGACCCTTCTGCAGTAAGATGATATGGAAATTCTTAGATTTATAGAAATGGTTAATAATTAAGACAGAGATAGCCAATAAGAAGCCCTAGCCATCAGCCAACAGTTTAATAATTAATATATGTCTTTGTGTGCTCCATTGGGGCTGAAGCAGAGGACCTGGTGGAAAAGAAAAGTCAGCAACAAGGTTTTTTACCTTAATTTTGTTTTCTCCTGATAGTTTTGCCTATGTGTATGTATGTGTGCCATGTGCATGAGGTACCTATGGGGATCAGAAGAGGCATCAGACCCTCTGGCACAGAAGTTACAGATAGTTGTGAGTCATCATGTGGGTGCTGGGAATCGAACCCAGGTCCTCTGCAAGAACAACAAATGCTCTTAACTGCTGAGCCATCCCTCTAGCCCTGGTATTTTAGTTTTGTACTACATTTAATTGCTTAGCTCTAAACTCAAGGTAGCTAGGCTACTGATGCTGGCAACTCACCTTTGAGATCTTTGATCTCTAGGAATTTACAGCCTAAAGTTCTTAAAAAAATGTTCCAATGCTGGGCCTTTTACTGATGGTAATCTGTAAGTGCTATTGGGATAGGATCTCATTCCCTGCAAACTGCCTTTCCAAATTTCATTTTAAATAATTCAACCTCTGATCTAGTTGCCTATTTGAGATGAAAGAACTAAATTATTTAGCTCATAAGAAGCACTGAGCTAAATTCAGATGGGAAGCCACAAAGCTAAAACCTAGCAAATGACCCGAAAAACCCTATCAGTGTAGCAGAGGCAATAAGACACACACTGCAATTAAAACAACTGACTAGGTGACAAACAGTGGTAGACAGTGTGTAGTAGGGCAGTGCTCTAGAGGCTGGCATGTCATTCATTGGGCTACATGGTCCTTTGAACAGGAATTCTTACCTTCAAGCCCAATGATATTGGGCTGGATGAGCCATTACCGAAGGAGTTGTTCTGTCACTTTGAGATGTCCAGAAGTGTCCTGATCTGTACCCACCAGATGCCAGGAGTAATTCTGCCTCCTTTTTCTCCACCTCAATGTGGCAACTAAAAATGTCTTCTTCAGAACTTCCCACTTTTAAGAATCCACTGCTTCCCAGTTAGAGTGACAGTGAGAACCTCATGGGGGGACTGGTTTTTAAGCTAGTGCTGAAAGACTGAGATTCTGTCTAGTGACACGGGAAAGAAGCATGTAGTTGGGAGGGAATGGTCTGAGCCCAGAGACAGTTTGGAGTCTATCAGTGTGACTGGAAGAGTTCTCACAAAGAGAGTTCCACCAGCAGACCATCAAAGCACAGCGTCTCCACTTTCTCTTTTGAATTCTCACTGTAAACCTGACTAAACACAGTGAGCAGCATGCCAGCTGTTGCCAGGAGCCTTGTGACTGGACTAACGTAGTCTCTTAGTAGCCTTAATCCATTTCTTATTATTGTCTTTGCCTCTTTATAGGGGATCAGACAACATCATCTTCTTTACCACCTATGTGAATGGTTCCTGCAGTAAGTATATTGTCCCAAAAAAGAATGTCCTGACTGCCCATTCATAGTAGAATATTCTGTGTTGTGTGTGGTAGAAACAAAAGATTTTCCCATGCTCCTGCAAATTCAGTAGCTACAGAAAACTCAAAGCTACTAATTACTTTTAAGATCTTAAAAATATAACTAAATTCCTTCATGTCATGTCCAGGTCAATACATGGAGACGATATAGTTTATCTTAGCAATTATACATGTCACTTTACTCACTATTATAACAAAATACCTGACAAATGCAATCTAAGAGGAGAGAGGTTCCCTTGGCTCTCAGTTTAGAGGACACAGCCCACCGTGGTGGGAGAGGCATGGTAGCTGAAGCAGCTCTGTCCCTGGCAGTGGGTGCTGTCTGGCTTACACACATCTCTGTGTGTCAGGAAGGAGAAAGCTCAGGTCGGAATGAGAAACAAAGATCATCCAGGCCACCTTTAAGCCACCCGTTTCTGCTGACGAGGCCACAGCCTCAAAGGTTTCACAACCTCTCAGCAGTACCACCAAATGGGGTGCAGGTGTTCAAACATCTGAGTCTGTGGGGGGCAGTTCACATTTAAACTGTCACGTTCCACCCCTGACTCCTGTTGACTCACTGTCATCGTAAAATGTAAAATATATTCAGTCCAACGCCAAAGGTTACTATTGTCTTTAATAGTCTCAACGCTGCTCAAAAATCCTGTGTCTCTTCTAAGACCCAAGGCTGTCTCTTCACTGTGAGGCCTTACAAAAATCTAAATTTGAGTCGTATGTTTCCATTATACAAAGGCATGTACTCCTAAGGGAGCAGGACAGTATAGGAAGATGAGAGCAAAGGACCATACTCATCAGATAAGCTGACCCTGAAGCTCCATGCCCACATTTGGGTATCCTGGTGGCATCATCAGAACTTCAGTGACCTTGAGTGGTCCCTTCCTCCACAGCTCTTGTTACCTGTGACACATGTGGCTTCTTCTTGAGACAGCTCTGCTTGGGCCTCCAGCCTTCTTAAGTAGATGTCTGTGTCCCTGCATTTCTAACCCTTGGGATCTACATTTGCAGCTTATGCTCCACCTTCACAGCTTCCCACAGCGGCCCCTAAGTGTCTCCCTGCAGTTAACGTTGCCTGGACTCAGGGACGCTCTTTACAAGACAAATCTTGATGACCCTTCACTCTTGTATTCTACTTACCTGAAAAACTACCACGTGGACAATGCCAAGAAATCAGCAGCTATCTAGAGAGGTGTCCACCCCTCCCACCTTGGACAGCAGCTGCAATAGCCTCTAAGTGCCTGCAGCTGGACCTGGTGGCCCTATTCCCCGCCCACTGGTCTCTTTAGCTGTCACAGCCACTTTGTCCTGCCTGCCTTGCCGGCAGCTTTAAACTTGCCCATGTTCCTTTCTTCAGCACACTGAGCATTCTTCACATCCTTCTTCACTTTCCCTTTGAATTCTCCCTGTAACCCTGACTGCACACACCGGGAGCTGTAACCATACACAACCTGAATGTCAGCTGCCTACAATCTCTGCCAAGTTAACTAGTCCATGAGTTTTCAGTTAAGCCTCACTCAAAATTTCAAAACATAGGCAGACCACAGAGAGATTCTTTACCAGAATATGACATGAATATTCTCTAACCCGGTTCCCAATAGAGATCTTGTTCCCTTAAGTCTGGCCTTCACATCCACACTTCTCTCAGAATTCTGGTCCTCATGAGCTCCACTAGAATGGCCCACTGAGCTGTGCTTATAGTATTGTGGTACTCATCTATCCCACGGCTCCAAATTCCTGCTCAGTCCTTGAACTAGCCAGTTCTGAAAGTCACATGGTCAGGTTCTCTCTACAGTGCACTCTTTGATACCAGATCTCTGTACTAATTGCTTTTCTCCTCACTAATTGTCTTAGCCAGTGTTCTATTGCTGTGAAGAGATACCATGACCATGGTTGCTCTTATAAAAGAAAGCATTTAATTGGGGCTTGCTTATAGTTTCAGAGGTTTAGTCTGTTATCATCATGGCACAGAACATGTTGGCACACAGCAGATGTGGTACTGGAGACGTAGTTGGGAGTTCTACATCTGGATCCACAGGCAGCAAGAAGAGAAAGAGCCTGGGTCTAGGGTTGACTTCTGAAACCTCAAAGCCCACCCCTAAGTTACATACTTCCTCCAAAAGGCCACACCTCCTAATCCTTTTCAAGTAGTGCCACTCCTTAAATAAGCATTCAAATATATGAGCCTATGGGCGGCCAGTTTTACTCAAACTATCACACTGACAAAACACTGACAGGAGCAACTTAAGGGAAGAGAGATTTCTTTGGCTCCCAGTTTAGAGGACTCAGTCCATCATGGCAGAGAAGACATGGCGGCTAAAGCAGCTCTGTCCCTGGCAGTGGGAGCATGCAGCATGACTTGGACAAGAGAGGAGTCCTTTACAGTTCTGGGGTGCAGTCCACAGTGGCGAGGAGAGCATGGCAGCTGGAGCGGCCCTGTATGGCAGTAAGAGCTCACAGCCATTGCTTATTCACATCTTAGTAGATCAGGGAGCAGAGAGCTTGCACAGGAATCAGGAGTAAATGCCACCTTCAAGTCCTCGGTGACCCTCGGTCCCAGAGATTTCACAATTCCCTAAATGGTACCAGGAATTTAAACATATGAGCCAGTGGGGAACATTTCATATCTGAACCGTAACAGCAGTGTAGATGCAGCAAACACTAGACCATAAGCAATAGGAAACTCACAGGCCTAGCGATCCCTGTAGAAGATTTATCGCTTTCATGTCGGCTGAACTATCCATGCTGCAGTATCCAAGTAGAAAGAAAAATGTTTCTTTTATTCATGCAACAAATATCTGAGAACCTGGTGTAGGCTAAACACAAGTGCAATGAGAACAAAACATCCAGGATCTGCTTTTGTGGGACAATAATGTAGGGGCATTAGTTGATAAACAAAAGGAAAATCTTAAACAATAATTTAATTTACTGCCGGGCGGTGGTGACGCACGCCTTTAATCCCAGCACTCGGGAGGCAGAGGCAGGCGGATCTCTGTGAGTTCGAGGCCGGGCTGGACCAATAGCTTCCAAAACAATACAGAGAAACCCTGTCTCGTAAAAACAAAAAATAAATAAATAAATAAATAAAAATAATTTAATTTACTAATTTAAAACAGAATAAGATCATTTTTTAAAAGCGTGCCATGAAGAGAGTAGAAATTATCACTGCTGTTGTTATATAACACTGTTTTTGAGTCATGAATACTCAGAAAACCTCACATAAATAAAACCCAAATGCAAAGTCTCTGTATATGAAGTCATGTCACCTCAATGTCACTTGATCAACATTGACTGGATTAAAAGTGCTTTTCTTTGATTAAAATAAGAGTAGTTCTAGAGCAGCTGTGTGAATGGGACTCACCTGTAAATGAAATTTTAATCCACATTTTGTCTTGTTTAAGAAGCTGACCTTGGTGCACTGGAATTATGGAGAACGTCCGACTTGGGGAAAACGTTCAAAACCATTGGTGTGAAAATCTACTCATTTGGTCTTGGGGGCCGCTTCCTTTTTGCCTCTGTGATGGCTGATAAAGTAAGTATTTGCCTCTTCCGGCTCTGATGTGCTCACTAATACAAACCATATGGATCTCTTTTACTATGGAGTCCTGACAACATTTCTTGTCTTCTTGCTTTTAAAAAATGTTCACATTTATTTGTTTATTTTGTCTGTGTGTGGGGCACACACATGCCATGGCAAATGTGTGGAGATTGGAGGACAGTTTGCAGGAGGCCATTCTTTGTGTACATCTTGTAGACCCGAGGAATCAAACCATGTCATCAAGCAAACATTTTCACCCACTAAGCCATCTTGCCATCCCTGTGATTTTAAATATCACAGTAAAAAGTTAGGAGAGATTTTGCCTACAAAGGCTGACTGACTCTTGAGGTACTGTGGGCATTAGCCTTTTGTCATTGTGACTAGTCCTGTTTTTTTGGACTTGTAGGCCCAGTGTCTGGCTTCGCTCAGATATGAATATCTGGAGGGGGAAGAAAGAAATTCATTTTTACATTATTCTATAATCATAATAAGAACATAAAATGCTAGTTGAGTGTCTATTACCTACTGGGTACCAGTTTAAATCTCATAAGATAGTAGTGAATAAATAGATACATTTCCTGCTCTCTGAGCTTGTATTCAAATGGGGAAGCCCATGTTAAGCAAGTGTCTCAATCAGTGTTCCCTGGCAGTGAAGAGACACCATGACTACGGCAACTCCTATAAAGGAAAGAATTGAACTGGGGCTGGATTACAGTTCAGAAGTTTAGTCCATTATCATCACGGTGGGAAGCATGTCGGCACACAGGCAGACATGGTGCTGGAGAAGCTGAGAGTTCTACTTCCGGATCAGCTTCTGAAACCTCAAAGCCTACCCCAGTGACACATTTCCTCCAACTAGACCACACCCACTTCAACAAGGCCACACCTCCTAATCATGTCAAGTAGCCCCATTCCGTGATGACCAAGCATTCAAACACACGAGTCTGTGGGGTCATTCCTATTCAAACCACCACAGCAGGTAGGTCTGTCTAGGAAGAATTAGAGCAGCATGGAGGTGAGGAGCAGCAGGGACTGGCATCACTATTGCAGACCGTGCTTAGGTGGTATCTAGGCAACCTGAGGAGGGTGCCTATGTGGACATCTGGGAGGAAGCAAGTGTGCAATCAGCAAAGACAGAGAGACCCTCAGGTATCCTGAGGTCAAGAAGAGTGGCAGTGTGGCTGGAGTATGGGGCGGGGAGTGGGAAACTATCCCACAGGGCTTTTATCATTCAGGTGGATTGTTTGATTATAACAAGTGTTCTTCCCGCCAGGCTGCTCCCAGTGCCACCCAACCCCAAATAACACACAGAGACTCTGTTAGTCACAATGCTGTCAGTTTGGCAAACTCAAGTGCGATGTTGAGTTACAGGGCTTCTCATAGGCTAGTTCTATCTTAGGTATTAACCCATGACTACTAATATCTATTTCTATAAGGACTTATCTTTCCGAGGACGCCATCCTGACATGCCTCTCTTTCCCAGGATCACATGGCTATTCTCCACTCTTGACTACATTTCCCAGAATCCTCCTCGACTCCTAGTCCCACCTATCTTGCTTCCCTATTGGCCAGCAGTGCTTTATTGACATATACCCAGAAGGACTTCCCCCATCAGTTTGATAATTACCTTCCACTGTAGCAGAATAGGTATGCCTGGGAGGGGAAGCAGCAAGAAGAGCAGCCAAGAGGCTGTCAAGTATTCAAGGGACAGGGAGCGGGAGCTGAGACCACTGTTAACAGTGGGTGTGGGGAGATACGGTGAGATTGTGTCTGTGTGTTTTAAGTATATTGCCAACGTGATGAGCGGTGCCTTAGATGTACCTTGTCAGACAAAAAGAGAAACATTCAAGTCTTTGGCCTGAGCAACTGGATAAATGACAGTACCATTTCCTGCCATAGGAATGGCTGTAGGAGGAGCAGGTTTATGGGAGAAAAAGAAAAATCCAGTGTGTTGGATATGAAATGCCATCTGAGAGAAAGGCCAAGTCAGCGTTTGTGTGTACAAGTCTCCCAAAATGGTGTGGTGTTTAAGGCTGTGTGAGTGGCTGGATGCTGCTTCTGAGGAGCGACTAGGTGGGGAAGAGATGGGAAGACCGAGCAAGGCCTGAAGCACCTCTCCACTGAAGGTGCAAAGAAAGAACCGAGCTGAGAGGCCTGGATGGGAGGAAGGGCTGAGGTGGGGAAAATCAGGACAGCACATTGTTACAAAAGCCACGTGAAGAAAGAGCTTCCAGAGGCAGCAGCGGTCAGTTTGGCAGACTCAAGTGACATGTTGAGTTACATGTACTCTGAGAATGACCCACTGGGCTGGAAGAGTGGATCTCTGGTGACCTTCATAGAATCGGTTTCATTGGATAGGAAATAGATACAGCCCTTACCACAGAGCTATACCTACTAGTCTTTTGGAGGTGTTTTAGCAGAGACCTGGACTTCATTGCTTCTTAGCAGATGCCTTTGTCAGTCAAACACTCACTGACCAATATCCTTAGAGGAATTTTGGACACTGTGGCCTCTTCCTAGCCTGGGTGTGTTCCCTTTATGGGAGAATCCCTTAGAGGCATGTCTCACCTTGGTTTTCCTTTGGTCTCCCAACATGAATTTCATCTTCACCTTCTAGACAATCAGTTATCTAGTTCTTTGGATTCATTATCTTAAAGCAAGGGTTATTTAGGGTTATTTCAAAGAAACCAAACATTTAAGTGGCAATCATTTGAGAATTTCAAGCAAGCATGTGAAAATTTTATAAAGCCAACCTAGTCACACCCTTAGCGCTATTGAAGGAGATGGGATGCCAGCTACTGGGAGGACCATTGCAGAGGGAAGAAACCAGAGAGCCAACATAGAATGGACCACTTCATTGCCTGGAGGAGAGTGGAAGCTGCTTTGAGAATTAGCACTGGACCTGTTGTTGTCATTGTACCCACTAAGGAGATGATTAATACAACTGTTTCATGTTTCTATTCATGCCCCTGACATGATACCTTGATAGAAGATTAAAAATACAGATATTGGTATATTTATTCTAGGATACAACAAGAAGGATCCATGTATCAACAGACCAAGGGGACACATGGAGCATGGCACAGCTTCCTTCTGTGGGACAGGAGCAATTCTATTCTATTCTGGCAGCCAATGATGACATGGTATTCATGCATGTCGATGAACCTGGAGGTAAGAGCCATTTGAACACATAGAGATTTAAGCTTTGGGCACTGCTCTTAGAAGCTTTCCTCTTACCCCAAGAAATTTATTACTATCCCAGAGATGATGTGCGGCCTCTTTAAAAGGCGCTTGTTCTGGTGCCTATGGTAGTCTGTTTGTAAGGGTGGCCGAGTGCCACAGAGCAGACTGCTCAGTGGCACTGAATTGCAAGTCGTCTGTGACCAGGTAAGTACAGGAAAGATTCAGAGACTAGTTGTGGTTTGTGTGATGTTTTATTGAGACAGGGACTCATTCTAGAGGCCAGGACAGCTAAAAACTCAAAATTCTCCCACCTTCACCTCTTTGCCCAGCTTAGAGACTCATAGTCATTTGATAAAGCAATTTTATATCTTTTGAACATAATAATAGAAAGTTAGGGTTGACATTTTGTCACTTTTCAATTTTGCTTTTCTAGTGATAACTTTTTTATCACTAGATGATACATTAAAAAATTTTAAATCCCTCACAAAAAGAGTTTGAGAAACACTCTAAATGTATGAAATAAGAATCTAAAGACATCCCAGCACTCGGGAGGCAGAGGCAGGCGGATCTCTGTGAGTTCAAGGCCAGCCTGGTCTACAAGAGCTAGTTCCAGGACAGCCTCCAAAAGCCACAGAGAAACCCTGTCTCGAAAAAAAACCAAAAAAAAAAAAAAAAAAAAAAAGAATCTAAAGACAGCACATATACCAGCAAGATATACCTGGGAAGAGCTTTTCTGATTACGTCATGCAGCAAATGCGGCATCCACTGGGTTCCAGCCTCTAGGTTGAGTGCCAGGATTAAAAATGAACATGAAGCCTTTGAGTGTGAAACTATGATGACCGCTCAGGTCTCAGTCTTACCATGAAGACAACAAATGTGCCGGGCCGGGAAGTCGGGACTAGACTATTGTTTTGTGTGGCTTCCTTTCAAGACTCAGCATCTCGTTTGTTTGCTCATGTCAGATACTGGATTTGGCACAATCTTTACCTCTGATGATCGCGGCATCGTCTACTCTAAGTCTCTAGACCGACATCTCTACACCACCACAGGTGGTGAGACCGACTTTACCAACGTGACCTCCCTCCGTGGAGTCTACATAACAAGCATGCTCTCAGAAGGTGAGCTCGGGAATCGCTGGGCAATAGCTTGGCATGGCTCTGGATGCTTCTGCTGAATAGGTCAAGATTTGAGGTCTTCAGGGAGATTGGTGGTCCCTTTCCCCAGTGATGTGCTTGCCTTGCCAACAAGCCTACTCTTCTACGTTGTGGCTTCACCGTGTAAAGAAATTATGCAATAGAAGTAGGACAGAGCAGATCAACGACAGTGGGAAGAATGAGGGATCCATATTGGGTAGTTTGTTAGGAGTCTTCTGTACTTGGAGGTTTAGGCCTAGAGGAATGATCCTGAACTAGAATCATGTCTGTTTTCATATCGAGAGCATAGTATTAAGCCAGGCAAAGTTCTTCTAGTATTCTACCATAGGACTCCCTTTGCCAAGGCTCTCTGCAAGGAACCACATTACTTCCAAGGACAAAGACCCTTAAAGCTTTTTTATGTGTCTATATTTTGACAGGAGGTAAGGCATGATTTTTGTTTGTAAATATCTTGCAATGGCCTATGAGATCCTAAGTGACATTGACTCCTCCCCCTGTCCCCCCACCTTACCTCCAGCTCTTTTCTTGTTCATTTGCTCTGTGGCATTCAACTGTCCCCCTGCCAGTCCTCAAGTGTCCCAATTGCACACATTCATTCATCACAGACATTTCTGTTTCCTCAGATACCTGCTGGGCAGAGTGCTTCTTCAAGTCTTTGCTCCAGTGTTATTTTCTGAATGAGAGTTGCCTGGAGTAGCCTATTTCATGTCAATTTGACACAAGCTGGAGTCATCTGAGAGGAGGGAATCTCAATTAAGAAAATGTCTCCAGGAGACTGGAGAGAGGAATCAGAGATTAAGAGCACTGATTGCTCTTCCAGAGGACCCAGGTTCAATTCCCAGCACATACATGGCCGCTCACAACTGTCTCTAACTTCAGTTCCAGAGGGGATCTGACACCCTTACACAGACATACATGTAGGCAAAACACCAATGCACATACAAAAACAGATAACTAAAAAAAAGAGAGAGAAGAGTAAAAAGAAAGTGCCTCCGTAGGATCGGGCTGTAGCCTGTAGGACATTTTCTAGGTGATTGTTGAAGGAGGGTGCTGCCATCCTTGGGATGGTGGTCCTGGGCGTATGAGAAAGCAGGCTGAGCAAGCCATGATGAGCAAGCCGTTAAGTGGTACCCCTCTGTGGCCTCTGCATCAGCTCTTGCCCTGTTTGCCCTGTCCTGGCTCCCTTCCGTGATGGACTACATGCTGTTTGTCATGGAGTTTCATCATAGCAATAACAACTCTAACTAGGATAGATAGGTTATGAGATGGTTGAAAAAAAAAACCTCTAATTAGAAATTATTAATCCAGGATTAAATGTGAATAATCTTGAGAATCCCTAAAATAAGCTTGGTGTCATGGCTTTGAGTAAAAATTAAAATCCTTGCCTTTGGTAGATTTTCTTCCAACGCATCAAACAGTGAAGGAGAATGGGCATTAGAATATACATACTGATCAGGAGTTAACATGTGTTGACTTTCAATTACTAGAGCAGAATGCCTGAGACAATCAGTTTATAAAGAGCAAAGGTTTATTTTGGCTCACAGTTTTAGAGATTTCTGCCTGTGGGTGGTTATCCCCCCTGCTTTTGGCTCTGTGGCACCACATCATGGTCAAAGTATATGGTAGATGAAACCCATCACCTCAGACATAGGATGAGAAGGAGACTTCCTCTCATTGGCCACATCTTGGTCTGGCAAGCAAGCTGTGGCTACCTAAGCAGTGGAGAAGAGGAAGGGATTTAAGATTCAAACTACGGATTAAAAGAGTGCTTTTGGCCGGGCGGTGGTGGCGCACGCCTTTAATCCCAGCACTTGGGAGGCAGAGGAGGTGGATCTCTGTGAGTTCCAAAACAGCCTCCAAAACAATACAGAGAAACCCTGTCTCGTAAAACCAAAAAAAAAAAAAAAAAAAAAAAAGAGTGCTTTTGGGTTGTTCGGTAGTGTCAGTTCCAGAAAGTTTCTGGAACTGACTGGGATGTCCTGTGCAAGTGGCACACCTTCTTCAGGCCTGCTATTCATCAGTGCTGAGCCGAGCTGAGCCGCTGGAAGGTGTTCAGAGCTCATGGGACTCCAAAGTCAAAGTTGAGTGGGAAAGAAAAGAGAGGGAGGCTTGAAGGGAAATATGCTCAACATAGAATTTACATTCAAATAAAATGTAAATAAACAAATGGTGTTTCTTGGGAAAGTTCCGTTGTGGTGGGCTGACTCTGAGACCTCCAGTGTGTTGGGCTTACATCACTCTTTCCCTGTTCAGATAACTCTATTCAGAGCATGATCACTTTTGACCAGGGAGGACGGTGGGAGCACCTGCAGAAGCCGGAGAACAGCAAATGCGATGCTACCGCAAAGAACAAGAATGAGGTTTGTTGATGCCAGCCACCGTCTGTGTGTGCTGACAAGCAGTCAGGCTGCCCTGCTCTGAGCATTGCTAGGCTACATACTGAAATCTCATTCCAGTCAGGGTCCAAAGTGAAGGTGGGAGGCTTGTGAGAACAATGAATTCACTTAGATCTGTGAAGTAGAAACTACATGGAGAGGCCAAGATACTACAGATTGTCTTTAAAAAAAAAAAAAAGAAAGAAAATCAAGATGGAGGACCAACTGTTTGTTTTATTAAACTTCTGAGTAAAGGCAGAATGGACAGCTGTTGTGGTTGTTAGCTAGGGGTCTACATGTTGGTGAAGAGGTCTTAGAAGTCCTTCAGAAACCAAAGAGCAGCCACTAACAACATGGGTCGGCACACCCTGGGGAGAGCTTGATTCAACAACAGCGAGCTGGTCACTTGCAAGGGCCCTCAGACCTCCACACAGGGCCACCCTGCTCCTCTAGCCTGCAGTTTTGGTGGGACTCTCCCATGGCATGAGATAAAGGGCACCTCCACCCCACCCCCACCTCACGCTCTCCCTTTGTAGTCATGCCTACTCTGTCTACCTCCATCTTCTTCTCCCTTTCCTGTCCCTCTGCCTGGGGCTTGCCCTGCCCCTGCTCAACATCACCCAAGGCAGGAGTCATGGTCTTCTTACTGCAACACTTTCTGGTCCTCTGCCTCTCCCTTCCCAACCTTCTCTTGGTTCCTCTTTGCCTGGGTAAAGTCTGAGAATGAAGGCTCTCTCCACCCTCTTCTCACCGACACGCCCTTGCTGTCACACGCCCTAGCTGACACCCCTCTGTGGCCTCTCAGTGTTCTTGCCGGTGTCATGTCTGTCTCCCCAGACCCCAATTAGTTACAATCTGTGGAAATCCTTAGTGTCCATCCAGTTAGAACCAATCATCCTTCATTCCACTAATAGTTGGCTTAGCCTTTTAGCAAACACAAAAGCGTAGTGTTTACTATTGTGGCCATTTGAGGTTTTTTGTTTTTAAACAGGATCTCATATGTAGCTCTGACTGGCCCTATGTGGACCAGGCGGATCTTGAGCTCAGAGATAGCCATATTTGTGCATTCACCTCCTGAGTGCTGGCATTACAAGCAGGTGTCACCACACCTGGCTCACTTGAGCTTCTTTGAGGACACAAGCTGTTAAAATGCTTTCACACATTCACACACTTTCTGACATTTCTTTTCCCCCTCAGCTTTATTGACTTATAAGTGATAAATTAAAATGGCACATATTTATAATGCACACAATGACATTTTGCTGTGTGTATGGATTGTAAAATGCATGACCACACCCAGGCTAATTAATGCACTCATCCATTAGTTCAGTTATCTTTTTGTTGTATGAGATAAGAGTATTTAGCTCTATTATCTTAGCAGATTACACAGTTTATATAGACTGTTCACTCCATGATGCTCATTAGCTCTCTAGAACTTACTTGTCCAATGTAACTGAAACTTTAGAACCTTTTGGCCAATATTGCCCCTCCCAGTTTTGTCTCCTGATCCCTCACAGCCTCCTCTCTCCTCCTGCTTTTATGAGTTTAGTGTTTTATGAGAGTTCACATTAAGGGACATTGAATGATATTTGTCTTTGTGCCTGGCTTATTTAGCATACAGTCTTCCCAGTTCAAACGTGTGGTTGTAAACAGCAGGATCTCCTTTGTTGAGAATGACTGACATCCCATTGGGCTGTGATTCCTCTTTATCCATCTTCCATCAAAAGATATATGGGCTGGGGATGAAGAGATGGTTCAGCAGTTAAGAGCACTGCCTGCTCTTCCAGATGACCCAGGTTCAATTCCAAGCACCCACATACAACAGCTCACAACTGTCCAGGGGATCTGACACCCTCAAACACATACACGCGGGCAAAGCGTATAGACGAAGCAAAACATATAAAATAAACGTTTTTTGTTGTTAAAAATACATAGGTTGGTTTTCTATCTTGAGTTGAACCACAGTAGATGTAGACTACAGATATGTTTATCTCCTTGAGTTTCTAGCTTCATTTCTTTTAGCTAAATGCTAAGAAGTAGACTCCTGACAGTTGTATACATTTTAAGGGAAACACCACACTGTTTTGTGGCAATGGCTTCAGTTACATCTCCCCAATAGAGTACAAGTGTTCCTCTTTCTCTGTGACTTTAACCAATACTTGCTGCTGTTATATTTTCATTACTAACAAGTTTGAGATGATGATGGGCTGTGGTTTTATGTGCATTTCCCCAATGATTGGTAATGCTGAACCTTCTTCAAATATCCCTTGGCTGTTTGCTGTCTTTGAAGAATGGCTATACATTTCTCTGCCCATTTTGAAGTTAGACATTTGTTTCTTGCTGTACAGCCCCTTGTGCTGTGAGTAGTTTGCAGATACTGTCTGTTCTGTGGACAGCCATTTCACTAGTTTGCAGATACTCACACTGCTGGACATTGCCTTTGCAGAAGGTCTTTAGTTTAATGTGATTCCATTTGTACATTTTTGCTTTTTGTTGTGTTCTTACATTCATTTCCAAAGTTACTGCCTAGGCTATGTCAAGAATATGCAATTTCTTTACTTTATGCGCACAGGTGTTTTACTGCATGTATATCTGTGAGGGTGTCAGATCTTGACGTTACAGACAGTTGTAAGCCGGCATGTGGGTGCTAGGAATTGAACCCTGACCCTCTGAAAGATCAGCCAGTGCTCTTAACTGCTGAGTCTTCTCTCCATCCTATCAAGAAGCTTTTGTCTGTGTTTTCTGCTAGGATTTTAGTTTGTAGACTTAACATTCAAGTCTCTTTAGAGCAGTGGTTCTCAACCTTCCTCATGTTGTGGTGACCCCCCAGCCACAAAGTTATTTCATTGATACTTCATACTTTGTAAATATCTGATGTGCAAGTCCCATGGGGTCACAAGCCATAGGTTGAGAACCACTGGTTTAGAGTGAATTTTTGCAGATGATATGAAATGAGAATTCAAATCCTTCATTTGCACATAAACATCAGGTTCCCTAGCAACATTTATTGACATTGCTCCTTTCTCATGTGTTCTTGATTGCTTTGTCAAATAATTAATTAGCCATAAATGTATGGATTTAAAGTCTAGAATGTTCTGTTCCATTGGCCTATATATTTTGTTTTTATGACGACACCATGCTGTCTTGATGACTGTAGCTTTATAGCATATTGTGAAGCCAGGAAGTGTGACCCTCTTCCCCTTTATTCTTTCTTACTCAGGATTACTCTGGGGTTTCAGTCTTTAAAGGTTCCATATAGATTTTAGGGTTTTCTCTCTATTCCCTGAAAAAAATGATACCAGATTTTTTGTCATTCCCCTCATTTTGTTTTGTTTTGGGCGTTTTGTTTTGTTTGGGTTTCTTTGGTTTTTTTAAGACAGAGTTTCGCTGTGTAGCTCTGGCTGTCCTGGAAAACTCTGTAGACCAGGCTGGCCTTGAACTCTCAGAGATCCCCCTATCTCCACCCTCCCAAGTGCTGGGATTAAAGGCATGTGCCACCACTGCCGGGCTTGTTTTTTTTTTTTTAAGTCAGGGTCTTGCTCTGTAGCCCAGGCTGGCCTCAGACTCCCAATATTACTGCCTCGGCCCCCCAGCCCACGCTAACAGGACTTTAGTAGTGAAGTCTGTAGCTCACTTTGGGGAGTGACACTTTGCAGTATTAATTCCTCCAATCCATGCACACAAGATTTCTTCCCACTCGTTTACATCTTCAGCTTCTTGCATGGTGTTTTGCAGTTCCTGCCACACAAATCACTCACTTCCTTGATTGGGCTTATTCTTAACTAAACAATTCACGTTTCAAAGTTGTTTCCAGGTCATTTTTTCTTGTACACTGTCTTAGTTAGGGTTTCTATTGCTGTGAAGAAACACCATGACCACAGCAACTCTTATAAAGGAAAAAAATTTAATTGGGGTGGCTTACATTTTCAGAGGTTTAGTCCATTATTATCATGGTGGGACATGGGGGCAACAGGCAGACCTGGTGCAGGAGAAGTAGCCCAAAGTCCTACATCTTGACTTCAGGCAACAGGGAAGTAATCTGTCTTACTGGGCAGGGCTCAAACATGTATGAGACCTTAAAGCCTGCTTCCAGCAAGGGCACACCCCCAGCAGTGGCACTCCCTTTGGAGGTCATTTTCTTTCAAACCACCACAGATACATAAAATAATGTTACATATTTATGGGAACCATGTGGTGTTTTAATATACTTAAACATTGTATAATGGTCAAATCAAGATTAACATTTCTCCTCAAACATGTATCTGTATTCTGTATGGGACAGATGTTTCAAATCATTTCTTCTAGGTTTTAGAAAAACATCATTGTCATTATTGTTGTTCTAGCTAGGACTTCACAGTACTGAACACAAGTAGAGCAAGGGCGTCTCTGTCTCGTTTCTGATCATATGGGAAACGGACTCCATTTTTAATATTTAATAAATGTTACTGTGACTTTTATTATCTGGAGATAACATTCCCAACTTTCTGCATCTATGGAGATGCCTGTATGCTTTTTATCCTTCATTCTGCTAACGTGGTATATCATATAAATGGAATTACATGTCACTGAACCACCCTGTCATCCCAAAGATGACTCCTACTTGATCGTGGTGAATAACAACAATGCTTCTGGATTCAGTTGCTAGTATCTGTTCAGAATTTTTGCATCTGTGCTCAGTGAAACCTTAGCTTGCACATCAGTTATGCTTCTGGATTCATGTAAAAAAATTAAGTTTGGGCATAGTCTCACATGTCTGGCATCCCAACCACTAGGGAAGTTGGGTCTTGCTATCCATCCCATGCAATTTAGTAAGACCTAATATCAAAGTAAAAAATTTAAAACTAAGGATTAGGGATGTATCTCAGTTGTAGAGCACTTACCTAATATGTGTAAAGCTTTTGGTTCAATCCCCAGCTGGAAAAAAAATGAGAATAAGTCTTGACAAACTAGTTGGACCATCTATGTATGTAAGTAACAATATTATAATAGTGAAAGAAATGGAAGTAACTCCATCAATAGTAGAATGGGTTAGTAAAATATAACATATGCTCCTCCACCTCTACCCTCACACAAAATAGGTTATTGTTTAGCCTTATAAAGGAAGGAAATTCTGACAAATGCTGTTATACAGGTCAACCCTGAGGACAGTGTGGTAAGTGAAATGAGCCCATTATAAAAAGACCAATTCTGTGTGATTTCATTTATGTGAGGGACCCTAGAGGAGTCAACTCCATAGAGGCAGACAGTGGAAGAGTGGTTTTCAGGAGACAGAAGCAGAGACCTGTTGCCTGTTGCTTTAAAAGTGATGGTTTCAGTTGTACAAGATGAAAAGGTTCAGATGACCGGTTAAGTGAGAATATGCTTAAATATATACTTTGAAAGCCAGATGGTACATTTTTTTAATTTTTTTTTTTTTTTGGTTTTACGAGACAGGGTTTCTCTGTATTGTTTTGGAGGCTGTCGGTCCAGCCCAGCCTCAAACTCACAGAGATCCGCCTGCCTCTGCCTCCCAAGTGCTGGGATTAAAGAAGTGCGCCACCACCGCCCGGCCAGATAGTACATTTTATGAAATGAATTTTACCACAGTTTTTTTTGTTTGTTTTTTAACATCATCACACTGAGGTTTGAGTTAAATTCAAAGTTTTATTGGGCAGCTCTGTGAAATGAGTAAGGACATTATGTTGTACTTTAAGAAAATCAGTGCATGAGAGGAAGATGCCATGTGTCAGGGTTTAAGTAGAGGGATTTTTTTTAATTAGGAAAGGGTACCATAAAAAGGGGAAAGAGGAAGGGGGGGAGACTGGCCTCCAGGACACGAATGGCAGGAGAGAAGGGAGGAAAAGGGGGGCAGACAAATAGAGGAAGGAAGGAAGGAAGGATGGGAGGTGGGCAGGGCCCTTTTTAAAGGGAACAGAGTGAATGTGCACAGGTGGTGCTCTTAGTGGCTGCAGCTGAGGGTATCTCCTGTCAGAACCCCAAGGACAGGACAGGACAGATGCCTGAATACTAACACATTATGCCTGTGGTTTTAATCTGGGCTTTGGTTTCTCTTCACAGTGCAGCCTTCATATTCATGCTTCTTACAGCATCTCTCAGAAGCTAAATGTTCCAATGGCCCCGCTCTCAGAGCCCAATGCTGTGGGCATAGTCATTGCTCATGGTAAGGAGCCCCCCTCCCCCATCCATCCCTCCCTCCCTCCCTCCCTCCACTGTGAATAGAAGCTGCCAGGCACAGGGAGACAGCATTGCCTTTGAGCACACCCCTCCAGAGAAAAAGCCACTGGTGTCTGTGCTCTGTTCTAGTTTCCTTTCTGTTGCTTTGATAAACCATCTGGTCAAATGCAACTTGAAGAGGAAAGTATTTTATTGTATACTTCCAGGTCACAGTTCATCAGGAAGTCAGGGCAGGAACTCAGTGCAGGGACCATGCCTGTTTGTTGGCTTATTCCCTGGCTCCCTCTCTCAAGGCTCATGCTTAGCTTTCTTTCTTAACTTTCTTACACAACCCACAACTACCTGCCTAAAGGATTGATGCTGCCCACAGTGGGCTGGGCCCTCCCACATCAGTCATTAATCAAGACAGTCACAAATGTGGGTATGGACCAGTCTCACCTGGGCAGTCCCTCAACTTAAGATTCACTCAGATAACACAAGATTGTGTCACATGGACAGCTGAAGGCTACTAGAATGTGATCATTGGATAGAATTTCCTGTATTGTAACAATGCCTTGGGTTTTTAATACTCTCACTGGCCAATAGCAACACCCAAGCTTTGGTGGCCTTCTTTCTCCTATAATATAATACTCATCAGTAAATCCCCTTTGCTTTGTTGCTAAAGTATATTGACGGTCGCTTACTTTGCAGGTAGCGTGGGAGACGCCATCTCAGTGATGGTCCCAGACGTGTACATCTCAGATGACGGGGGTTACTCCTGGGCAAAAATGCTAGAAGGACCCCACTATTATACCATCCTGGATTCCGGAGGCATCATCGTGGCCATTGAGCACAGCAACCGTCCTATCAATGTGATTAAGTATGCATGCTCTCCGCTCCCACACGTATCTGCATAGAGGGCAGTGATGGGAAGCTCTTGGGTTTATTGCATGGAGAGTCATGGGCCTCATTGGCCTTATTAGATTCTGCAGGACTATAGGCTCTCACAGGGATTATGCTTAGAGCATCCCAGATTAGGTGACAGTGCTTTTTCCTCCTCTTACTTATGTGTTTTATCACTTAATAATTGTTCCCCCTTGGGTCAGAAAGTAAAGTGTTTGCTGCGAAGCTTGTCGATCAGAGTTCAATACCTAGAACCCACATAGTGAATGGAAAGAATGGACCCCCCACATACACATACACCCCTTCTAGTTGTCCTGAGGCACACACACACCACTACTTAAAAGTCTTCTTTCACCCCATCCCCAAAATACAGAAATGGCACTTGGAGTTAGAAATCACTTCAGTACAAATGTTTTGTTGGTTTATTTGTTTGTTTTCAATGTGAGGTATTTGAAATGTTACTTTAGAAACTCATTCTTACCTGGGTCACTACTCTCTTCCTTTGGAAGGGATATTTTCTTCCATGTGTTCTATGAATGAATCTTTTCTCAGACCTTGCTCACTGTATTGTCAGACAGAAGTCATCCTCAATGCAAGGGCTTCCTCTGGCTGGGGACCTAACAACTAGAGTGCTCCCTGACACTCCCAGTGCATGCTGGTCCTCTGTCATGATCCTTCTCTAACTCTGGTTTCAGGTTCTCCACAGATGAGGGCCAGTGCTGGCAAAGCTATGCGTTCACGCAGGAACCCATCTACTTCACTGGCCTGGCTTCGGAGCCTGGAGCCCGCTCTATGAACATCAGCATCTGGGGGTTCACGGAGTCTTTCATAACCCGCCAGTGGGTCTCCTACACAGTCGATTTCAAAGACATCCTCGAACGGAACTGTGAGTGTCTCCTTCCGGATTTCCCAGTAGAAATTTGTAAACTCCTTTCCCCAAATAACCCATTCAGAGGAATCTCTTTCAAGCAGGGTAATCAAATGCATATGCATATGAAAGGCGATTGGAGATGGTCTGTGTGGGCAACCCAGCATAGGAATAGCAAAGCAGTCCTCCCGCCTAGCCCTGTGCAAAAGAAATACAAGGGGTATCTATCTGTGTTACACTATTCTGTCAGCTATGTTATAAAATAGAAGGATGGTAGAATTATCTCTAAATGTCCAAAAGATCATCTCAACATGTAAGCGGTAGGAAAGATTACTAAGATAGTTTGCTTTTTCTCTTGTAAGTCAATATTCCTAGCACCTCTTAGCTCAGACCAGCTGAATGTGGCAGGGACTGCCATGTAGGACAGTGTAGCCTTGAACTGCACCAGGGATCTTTAGTACCTTTTATGAGACATTCTTCTGGTTTGTAAGAATAGTACATGTATGTGTTTGTCTAAAATTAGTTTGTGACATGGGGTGGGGGAAGGGGTGTCCCTCTGTAGGCAGATGTATGGGACTGTAGGAAGCAAGCTTTGGAGGGAGGTGTTCTCAAGGACCACTCCTTGATCCTGTCACTCAGAACACTGAAGGGAGGGAGTTTTACATGGAGTTTTAGTTCAAATGTGAGTCCTAGCTGAGGCTCTAGAATGAGCACTGGGCAGGTGCAAAGGACTTCAGGAAGAAAATGTCCAGTGCATGGTGCTCCCAAAATGTCACAAAGCTAGTCATAGTGTCACAATGAGAAACATGTAGACTAAAAGAAAACACTGGGGAGAAGGTGCCTGTGTTTACATGTTGGCATCATGTAATCAAGGGCTTAGAGTTTACCAGACAAATGCTCAGCCTGGGCTCACCGCTCTCTAAGACATTACGTGTGATTTGAAGCCTGAGGGCTCGTGTCCTCTAAGTGCAATAAAGAAGGTGGAAGGGGCTGACTGGTGAGTCTATCCCTCAGCAGGGAATTCTACATTAGCTCTCAAGCCTAAGATCTTTAAAATATCCATTAGACACCTGCTCCCTGTTGATCTTCAAGTCCCAAAAGGTAAAAACGCAGGCAACATTTTTTAGGTTCCAAGCTGTTGAGTATTTTCCTGGGAGTAGCTGATGTGGAAAGCTAAAGCAGAAACAGATGTCTATGACTGGCATCAGAGAGCCAGCGAACTCTAGGAGAAGCTGGGAAGAGGCTGTTTTCCCTACCGACTGAAGCCAACTGTGTGGTCTCATTGAGCCTGGGCTCTTGCCTCGTTAGTGTCTTATACTAAACACAGGGTCCCAGGATGAGAAATTCCAGGGATGGAGTGCTCAGGCCATTACGACAGATGCAGCCTCTTGGTTTGGAGAGGCTCTAGTGCTCCCTATACAGCCTCACTTGAAAACAAAGGCTGTGCCTGGCGTGGTTGGTGGCACACTCCTTTATTCTCAGCACTTGGGAAGCAGAGGCAGGCTGATCTCTGTGAGTTCAAGTCCAGCCTAGTCTACAGAGTGAGTTCCGGGACAACAAAAGATACATAGAGAAACTCTGTCACACACACACACACACTCACACACACACACACACACACACACACACACACACACACACAAACAAACAAAAAGAACAAAACAAAACAAAAAAAATCCCAAACAAAGGTTGCTCATAATCCCCACAGAGAAGGCAGGACAACTCTCCATCTTCTAGTGTTCTCTCTATTCTTTTGCCATGAGGAAGTGCAACTGCTAGTAGATTCTAGACTAAAGTGACTTTGAATCATACATCTGCTCCTTTCCCCTCCTCCCCTTAGCCTGGGAGCTGCCTCTCTTATAGGTGGGCTGTGTGCTGTGCCGATTTCTGAACATTCTGTCTGTCCTTTAGGTGAAGAGAATGACTATACCACATGGCTGGCACACTCCACAGACCCTGGAGATTACAAAGACGGCTGCATTTTGGGCTATAAAGAACAGTTCCTACGGCTACGAAAGTCGTCCGTCTGTCAGAATGGTCGAGACTATGTTGCAGCCAAGCAGCCGTCCTTCTGTCCTTGTTCCCTGGAGGACTTCCTCTGGTATCAGCACTCCTCAGACCCCTCTGTCAGCCTCTGTCCCACATGTGGGGAGGTGAAAGATAGTTGTTTCATCCAGCTAAAAACTACGACATTCCTTCCCCCCACATTGAATGACTCTTCTCTACTAAAGGGAAGTGCAAAGAAAGGGAACCAAACATCACTAACATTTAGACAGATAATTTTGTTATATTAGTCATTGGACACAGCTACTGGCCAACCTCAGAGATTCTGACCTAGACATGGTGGGAAGGACAAATTATATAAGAAGGAAGACAGTTTTCCATGTAACTCAGTGGTAGCATGTTTGCCTAGCTTGCATGAAGCCCTAAGTTCAATCCCCAGCATCCAGTAAATTGTGTGTTGATTCATGCTATAGTCCCAGTCCTTGGGAGGTAGAGGCAGGAGGATCAAAAGTTCAAGGCCACCCTCAGCTACACAGTGAGTTCAATTACCGCCTAGGATACTCGAGAACCCTGTCTCAAAAGAAGTCTTAAAAAGGAAGGTCTGGGCATTGGTGGCAGCACATGCCTTTAATCCCACCATTCAGGAAGCAGGAGGATCTCTGTGAGTTTGAGGCCAGCCTGGTCTACAAGAGCTAGTTCCAGGACAGCTATGACTATACAGAGAAACCCTGTCTCAGGGGGAAAAAAAAGGGGGAAGGAGGGTTTGGGCAAGGTGGGTGGGCAGCCTGCAGAATGATAAGCCAAAAACAACGGGAAATGTGGTTTGGTGCAGGGAGGAAATTGGGCTTTGTGGGCGGCCTGCTGGATGATGCTAGGTCTGGATCATTTGCAAGACTGAGGACTGAAGTTGGTAGTTTGTCCAAGACTAGAGATGACATTGGTCTGTTCATAGTCCCTAGGCCTCACTGAGGTTTAGAGGCCTCCATGATGTGTTTCCTAGAGTTCAGGACCATCAAGGATGAAGAGGGAGTTACTTGCTCTGGTGTTGATATGAAAGAGCCCAGTGTCACTTTTAAGTGAGGGGATTTGGGGCAGATAAGAACTGCTTCATATCACAGGGAGTAAGTTGCTACTTGTGACAGATACTGGCAGGAAGGAAAAGTGGGTCCTGAAGCACTTGGACAAAGAGAGGGGACAAAGTAATCTTGCCTCTCCTGTCATATCCCCCTGAACTGCAGTGACAGCAAAATGCAGATCTGAAGGAACTCAGGTCAACTGTGGCCCCTCCCTTCTCCCTTCCCACAGGAGGCACATCATTGCCCGCTCTCCTCTGGCTTGTAGTGAAGTCTGAGGTTGTCCTGCCCTTGACCTCCTTCCCTGAGCTGTCACCATTTCCTTCTGTGCTGTGGTCATGCAGAGTGGTGCTTCCTGTGTGAGGAAGGCCTGGCCTCGTTCTCTGCTGGACCCTGTACCTGGGAAACTCCCGCTGTGGCCTTTGCTGACTAAGACAGATGGCACCACTTTGAAGCCCCGTCCATTCTCCTTCCCCAGACTCATGCACACAGTAGGTGAAGAGAGGAGAAGACTCCCCTGTGGCAAGAAGCAGGAGGACTGCAGAAGGCCTTCTTTGAGGAGGTGGCCTCCAGCTAAGTACTGATGAGTGGTGGCATTTGCCTATGTGCATCCAGGAAGGAAGTGGATCCTAGAAGCCGGTGGGCGGCCATGAGCTTCGACACCTGATGGCACACCGAGGAAGTCAAAGAGTAGTCATAGCACAGAGGGAAACGCTTGAAAGGCAGAGACAGACAGGGCCCCGAGAGCTGCAGGCTGGCCTGATCTACATAGGGTGCCTCAGACATGCTAGGGCAAAGATTTTAAAAAGGAAGGAATGAGTCCAGGTGTAGGACATTTGAACTAAATTTCCCTTACGGACGTTGTAGACAGAAATGAGGGGAACTGGTACAGAGGAGAAAATACTGGGTTTGATGGCCAGGATTGGGGTGTTGATGATCTAAATGAGAAAAATAATTAGAAGTATTCCCACAAGAAATATGGCTAGAGACTGGGGATACATTTCAGGGTTAGAGCACATGTCAAACCCTGAGTTCAAGCCCAAGAAAGAGAGATGGGGAAGGGAAGTGGGGAGGGGGGGAGATTTACCCAATAAGAGAAGATGAGATGACTTCTAGGGTAGACGGATGTCAGGCTGAGGAGAAGGCACTGGTGAGTGGTAGAGATCGGCTGTCCTTTCTCATCCTCTGGGATGGAAGGTGGGTGGGAAAGCAGGACCTAAGCCATGGATGCTGTATAAAGGGTCAGCCTCGGGGGAAAAGGCAGGGCCTTATTTCTGGGCGAGAACAAAACGGAAGGTGAACGAGAGGTACTACAAAGAGACGATGGGATGGAGGGGGACTGGGGAGCTGGGCCAGTGGCTAGAGTGCTTCCTGTACAAGCATGGGAACATGCCCGATCCTCAGCATGCACACAAGAGCAAGGCTTGATGCCATACATCTGGAATTTCAGTGTTAGGCCTGGGGGAGAGCTCACCATGTTCAGTGAGAGACCCTGCCTCAAATAATGGGGAGAGCAATGGAGGGCACCTGACCTTGACCTCTGGTCTCCATATCCACATCACATGCACGGTGTGGCACATACACATGTATATAAACACAAAAGTGCATCCGCACGTGCACAAAGGGTGGAGGGCAGGAAGGAGCGTTCTTATGGGAGCCTAGGACTATCTAGGAAGCGAAGAGGGCAGAAGAGAAACTAGAACATGTATTCCTAAGAGCAACAGTTGACAAATGACAAGTGGACGTGAAGGAAAGAATTAAGTGTCTCTGAATTTAGATCTGTTTCTTATGCCTCTGTGGTCCCTGTTATCTTCATTGTTAGGGACTCTGCCCTACTGTAAGTGGCACTCCGTCCCTTCCCTGAGCCTGGACTGTTATAGGTCTCCTAGCCTGGGGATCTGTTTGTAAGTCTGCTGGGCCTGGTCCATCTTTCCTCTTCAATAAGCCTTCTCTGTGGCTTTTCCTAACGGACTGTTTTCTTTCCATGACTTTAGTAAATACCAGGACAGCTGGCTTCCAAAGGGAAAAACTGCCCAAGGAAAGCTCTGATCAGGCTCTGTCGACATCGGCACTTGAGGACAGAAACACGGGGCAGAACAAATTGATCCCTGTGGCCAAAAAGTGACACAGGAGGAAGAAGGCAGGGCCCCACCCTAGGAAGAGCTACCACTTCTCAGTAGTACCATACTGGGGGCCAAGTCTTCACCACAGACCTTTGGTGGGGCACTTAAGATCCACGCCACAGCCTTTGCAACTGTTCGCACCTCAGTTGGAGCACCCATAACAGGAATGTCCCACTTGACTACTGGTCATGTGCTGGCTTGCAGGCAACATCAAAAGTGTCCTTATTGATTCTTGCAGTGACTTTGGCTACTTCCGTCCAGAAAATGCCTCAGAGTGTGTGGAGCAGCCGGAACTGAAGGGGCACGAGTTGGAGTTCTGTCTGTATGGCAAGGAAGAGCACTTGACGACCAACGGGTAAGATGGCCTCTCCGAGGCAAGAGCCCCACTGTGCCGAGAGCCAAAGCAGCTTGCCTCTGCCCAGTTCTGAACATTCACGAAAGAACCATCTAGTAGACCTACTGTGATGATAGAGTAGTTTGTCGTCCGCCATACCCAGCTGGCAGCCATTGGCCTCATGGGGCTGTTGCCGCCAGTGCAGCAGAGGAACCGGGTTTTCCATTTGAATTAATTTCATATTCCGGCGGCCTCCACAGGAGAAGGTGCAGCTCTAATGGAACCTCAGCAACTCCCCATTGATGGACTCCCCATCAGAGTGTTAGTGAGCTTTCTCTGGGTCTCACTTTCGGGTGCAGTCTGAAGGACAGGCAAGTGACTGACAGCGAGACACATAAATGCTGAGTCTTTGCTGGCCCTGAAATATCCCCATAGACAGCGCCACTCCCCACCTCCAACCCTGGCCCATGGCCATTATGTCTACCACATAGTATTTCAGTCAACAAAATAATACATTTGCCAAATGGGACTCCCCAGTGGGGTGGCCAAACTTACGGAAACCTGAGAACAGTCTTTGAGTCCACGGTTTTAAGGATTAGGGCGTAGCGCCCCTTGTGGGGTAAAGAATAGGATGAAACCTGATGGAGCAGTGCGTCTGTACCCCAGTGCTCAGGCTGTAGGGTCGGGAGGAACACCTTAAGTTCAACACCAGTCTGCTTTACACATCCACCTCTAGCCTAGCCAGCCCTGCTTAGATAAATCCCGTCTGGAGAAAACAAGGGGGAAATGGCTTAAATGGGCATGAAAATGTGATGGGAGACAAACAGTCAGTGCTCTGCACACACACGCAGCTAACCATCATAGCGTCTCTCGAAAAAGGCGCATGCTCAGAAGTGGTGTTCCCATAGTCTGAGGTCCTCCACTGAATTGTGGTGGATCATTCAAAAGGCCACTTGCATAGTTGCTTGAGTTGTGTTTTCAACAAAAGTGGCCATTTAAGTCCCTAAAAATTGCTGGGTGGGAAAAGTGTGCACACCTTTGATTCAGCACTTGGGAGACAGAGGCAGGTCGATCTCTGTGAGTTCAAAGCCAGCCTGGTCTACCTAGTGAGATCCAGGACAGCCAGGGCTACATAGCATGAGACCCTGCCCTAAAACAAAAGTCCCTGAAAATGAACATAGGCAACTGTGACATTATAACCCATGCATCAGAAATGCTACAGCTAAGCCAGTGAGAAACAGCCGTACGGCCCCCAAAGCCCATGCTTCTTTTTTTTTTTTTTAAGTATTTCTTTTATTTATTGTGTATACAGCCTTCTGCCTACAGGCAAGCAGAGGGTACAGGTCTCATTCAAGCCACCATGGGGTTGCCGGGAATTGAACTCAGGACCTCTGGAAGAACAGTCAGTGCTCTTAAGTGCTGAGCCATCTCTCCAGCCCAGCCCATGCTTCTTAAAGTCGGTTAAAGGAGAGGCTAACAGCAAGTAAAGCTGAAGGGTGTGTTCAGATTTCCTCAGTTTCCCAGAGGCGAGAACCTTCTGTAGTGAAAGAGGCAACCCCCCCAACACATCCTTATGTTCTGCTGTAAAAAAAAGAAAACTCTCTTCTTACCCTACTCCTCCTTTCCCTTTCTCCCTTCTGAGATTGTGTGTGTGTGTGTGTGTTGCAATGCTTCTTGCACATTAACTAATATAAACATTTATTAGTTTATTATTTGGCTTCTCTGCTGCTCTGTAGGGACCCTCCTCACTGAAGTGAGTCTAGAGCCGATTTTGCTGACAGGCCTCATTGCAGGCAGCTGGCCTACACCTAGTATTACTACTGCTTTCCTTTTGCCATTTTGGGTTCAAGCCCACCTCTGTCGTGGCCATCACTGAAGACAAATTTTGGGAAACTTTCACAAATTTGTTTCTTGGAGGTTCCATATACCTCTCAGCCTGCTAGACAGAATGGCTGCAACTTCTGCAAAGAAGGGGTCAGGTGCATCCCAGACAAGAGGCCCTGGCCACTGACTCCATGCCTTCCCCCAGAAAACAACACAGCCACTGCCAGCCTCTGTGAGCAACCTCCTGTCTTTCAGGTACCGGAAAATCCCAGGAGACAGATGCCAAGGGGGGATGAATCCAGCCAGAGAAGTAAAAGACTTGAAAAAGAAATGCACAAGCAATTTCTTGAACCCCAAGATGCAGGTATGTTAAAAACAGATCTGGTTTCTGGGTACCGGTGGGATTTCACGGTCTGGCAGGAAAAATCAAAGTTACACTTTGGTACCAATATGGAATGGCCTGCTGTTAGGACACAGGACCCATCACATACCCCAGTGACAAGGACATCCTGCTGAGAGCTGGCGTATGTTTGGGGGAAACATCACTGTGTAAAGTTATAAATACCTTAAAAGCATGGAATTGTGGAGTTTCTGGGGCCCAGAGTTCTACAGAAAAAGTATTAAGAGTTGTGCTCAGTGAGCGAAGGATACACATACTGAATTGTCACAATGTCCCTGCTGACATGTGCACTTAGATGTTAGTCAAAGCTTTTAAAAGAAAAAACTTGGGGCTGGGTACTACAGCTCGGTGGGTAGAGCATTTGCTGCCTAGTGTACATGAAGCTCCGACTTCAGCCTCCAGCAGCACATAGCAAACCATGATGATGTAACCTCAGCACTTGGGCACTCAGGCCCAAGGGTCGGAAGTTCAAGGTTATCCATACATAGCAAGTTTGAAGTCATCCTGGGCTACATGAGGCACTGTCTCCAAAACAAACAAATGGGCCTAGAGAGATGACTTGGCAGTCCCCAGTACGTACTGCTCTTGCAGGAGACACAGCTTGGCCTTTAGCACCCATGTCAGCAGCTCAGTTGCCTGTAACTCCAGCTCCAAGGGATCTGATGCCCTCTTCTGAATTCTGTGGGCACTGCATGCGTGCGTACACACACACACACACACACACACACACACACACACACACACACACAAAGCTGGGCAGTGGTGGCACACGCCTTTAATTCCAGCACTCAGGAGGCAGAGGCAGGTAGATCTCTGTAAGTCTGAGGCCAACCTGGTCTACAGAGTGAGTTCCAGGATAGCCAGGACTACACAGAGAAACCCTGCTCCAAAAAAGCAAAAAAGTAATGATAATAAGATAAAACAAGCCTCTGAAAAAAAATAAGAAAATAACAAAGGGCCATGGACTGGAGATTTGCACACACAGGAGAGCCCTGTACAGTAGGGATTGTTGAACTAAGTCATGTGTGTGTGTTAAGTGAAAGGTAAAGTGTAACCACAATGGCCGGCTTCAGATCAAGTCCTAGGAAGTGTGGCACTGATGTCAGGTGGAGCTCTGGGGGTAAGGCAACTAGGGAGGGCCACCTGGGAAGGCACACAGGCACAGTGTGACAGGGAGGCAAGCAGAGGACCCATCTCCCTAATCTGTAATATGACAGGCTGACCCTGACAATTGTAACACCTCCTCCCTGCTGTTCTACGGGATGAGACCCTGACAGGGTGGGAAGAGTGTGTGGGTGTGTGTATTTGTAAGGGGGCAAGTTCCTCCTTCTCTGCACCACTGCCCTGGACTGCTGGTGGCTGTCCTCAGAGTGTTTGTGTGTGTGATTGCACAGGACTCCCGCCCACAGGGACACAGCTTGTCCCAGAATCCAGCTCCGCCTCCTCTTGGATACACTGAAAACACACACTTCCTATCTCCTACTCAGAAGCAGGTAGGTTACACGCAAACAATGATATGATAAGGCTTATTTGTGAAAACATGCCAAACGTTAACAGAAATCTTGGTGTCATAGAATGGCCTTCCTGGAATAGAATGGACACACATCTTCGAAGTTGATGGCCTAGTTATAGATTCATTCAGCCTCTATTCTCACAGCCTCCTTTCCTGTTCTACCCTTCAGCTCCAGGAGTTGTAATCAACATGGAACAATCACAGTGACCATAGCCATCTTCTAGGCATGTCCAACCCATGGCCCCAGGGGCATACGCACCCAAGAATAGCTATGAATGTGACCTAACACAAAATTGTAAACTTTAAAATGTGAATTCTTTATGCAATTTTTGGGGTAACTTAATTGAGCAGTTCTCAAGCATTAAGTTTATAGATGATATCATGTTGCGATGTCAAAAGGTTGGACACCCATGACTTGATGCAGTTGCCAAGACTTCCACTATAACATTGACATTGAAGACCCTGCACTGTAGCTTCTAGGTGGTTGGAGTTCAGATTCCCTGTGCTAGCGTCCTAGAAACACTCAGACATTCATCTGGGGGGGTAGAGAAGTACCCGGACTAAGTGCCTTGGACTGTAGGTTACTCAAAGAAACGAGTAGTCTCTTTGAATTAAGCTCTAGACCGTGCATGCCTAACTGTGCCTGTTTATGTTTTAATTTATCAAGAATTCCAAGTCGAATTCTGTTCCTATTATCCTGGCCATCGTGGGACTGATGCTGGTCACAGTTGTAGCTGGAGTGCTCATTGTGAAGAAATATGTCTGTGGCGGAAGGTAAGAATTGTGCAAGTAGGTCAGAGGTCCTGAATCCAAACCAAAAGGCCACTCCGGCCTGCGTGATCCTGTTCTCTTGGCTGAAACTAGGTAAAGTGATAACCCTCAAGATTCAGATTCAAATCTTGTATCTTATTATAGCTGCACACTGTGCAGCCATGAGTGTGGAAATAGGAGGAAACCCCTTTCTATAAGAAATGTTCCCTGCTCAACTCAGGAAACTAACCCCAGGTCCCCCTCCAGGTTCCTGGTCCACCGATACTCTGTGCTACAGCAGCACGCGGAGGCCGATGGAGTGGATGCTTTGGACACAGCCTCCCATGCTAAAAGTGGTTATCATGATGATTCAGATGAGGTGAGACACTTTCCTCTTGGGGATTTATCAAAAAATTTCAGCCTTAAAAAATTATTTTTCAGGGCTGGAGAGATAGCTCAGCAGTTAAGAACATTGGTTACTCTTCTAGAGGACCTGGGTAGCTGCCCACATGGCAGCTCACAGCTGTAACTTCTTTTCAGGGACTCCAACACTGTCACAGACATACATGCAAAACACCAACGTACATAAAATACAATTACTTTTTTGTGGGGTTTGAGACAGGTTTCTCTGTCTTTGGAGGCTGATCTGGAACCAGCTCTGCAGACCAGGTTGGCCTTGAACTCACAGAGATCCACCTGCCTCTGCCTCCTGAGTGCGGGGATTAAAGGAGTGCACCACCAACGCCCGGCCAAATAAATTACTTTAAAGACAACTTATTTTTCTACTTGTAACCAAGACACTCTCTGGATCAATGGCTCAAATGTTAAGAGCACTGGTTACTTACTCTTCCAGACAACCCAGGTTCTGTTCTCTGCAGATACGTGATGGTTCACAGCTGTCTATAACTCTAGTTCAGAGGATTCAATGCCCTCTTCGGGCCTCCAAGGCACCAGGTGTGCTCATGGTACACAGACATACATTCAGGCAAAACTCATACATATCAAATGAAAAATAAATCTATTTAAATCTCTTTAAATTTTTTTTATTAAAGATACAATTGGGACCAAGTTGTGCATAAGCTAGAAGCCACAACATACCAGCTACAAGATTTGACAAGCCAAGAAAGTAGGCAATTGCTTTCAAAATAGTTTTTTTTTAATTTGTCAGTAACATGGCACATGTCTGTCTTTTCAGGACCTCCTGGAATAGCTCTTCAGAAAAGCTGGGGCCGAGCGTGGATGGAGTCACAGTACCTCCTACACTCCAGCGGCTCTGACTTTGGGGAAATAAATTTCCCATTGCGTCGGGCCCAGCTCTGTTTCTGCTGCTTCCATCCAAGCCCAAAGGACCTACACTAAAGAATACAGGGTGGGGGGGGTGGGGAACCCTAACTGATCTCACAGTTGGCTCTGAGGGGGGGAAATGTTAAATTCTTTAACTTTTTGTTTCAAGTTCTGTCTTTTGTAAACGTGTGGGCTTTAGGTTTCTGTCAGTTGGTTTGTATGTTAAGGGAAATGAAATGGGATTCAAAGGGATTATTTCACTGACCCCACTGTTGTGTGTTCTGTGCGATGCCCACCCCAGGGCAGCTGCCAACTCCACCATCGACTCAACTCTCATGTCATACCCGGTGCTGGCCCTGGGCTCTGCCAGCCATGGGAGGCAGCCTCAGAGCAGGAAACGGAGGTGCAGTGACTGGTACCAGCTTCTCTCCATCTGTGGACAGCCCTGTTTAAAGAACACTGCGCACCAACCAGCCCTGCCGTGTCTTCCCAGGCCCACCCCACCGTGACTACCAGATTTTTCTGTTCCTGTTTAATTAGGCAATACCGTGTTAATTGCCCTTTGGCGACTAACTTAACCAAGTGCTTCCAAGACACTACTAAATCAGGAAAACTTACAGGGCAATATTTTAACTTGTGGCAAGGAGGAGGAGCAACAGGGAGTTGACTAGATCTAACTCCTATTAAAGATGAAACTGGCTAGCTGGGTGGTGGTGGCACATGCCTTTAATCAGCACTTGGGAGGCAGAGGCAGGCTGATCTCTGTAAATTCAAGGCCAGCCTGGTCTAAAGAGTAAGTTCCAGGACAGCCAGGGCTACACAGAGAAACCCTGTTTCCAAAAACAAACACACAAAGATGAAACTGGCTACTTCTGAGTCTTTCAAGCTGTACTCTGTGTGAACAGTGGACCTGCTCAAGTATGGGATGCAGGCTTCGCTATCCCTTTCCTAGAGTTCATTGCTGAATGCGCATTGCAGCCCCAGGATGGACAGCCATAGCCTTATCACCCATTGTAAAGGCTCAGTGTTAAACTTATACCATGAAGGCTTATAGCTTCCTCCTGAGTTGCTACTGTTCATAGAACCAGAACGAGGGCTGTTTTCAAATTGATGAACTTTTAAAAATCAAAGTTACGTTACCAGACCATCCTTCTCATCCTTCCCATAGTTTCACTGATTATTTGCTGGCCAGAGACCTTTGGCAAACCCCACCGAAGCCTTGCTTCTAGGTGATGCTATGTGTGATAAATCACTTTCATGTTTTAAGGATATTTTCTATCGGATATTTTCCCAGATTAAATAAGTTCTAGAATATGATCAGTGGATTTGGGGTGGCCATCTGGTAATGGAAAGCTGTAGTAATTCCTTTTAATACAGCTTGACTGTTAGCCACACGGGGCGATGGTGTGGTCCGTCTCTGGTCTCCCTACCCCTGCTCGCTCGTCACAGTTCCTCCAGTAATTACTACTGGGGCATTCTGGAGTAAATGCCATTCTGCTGCTACTTCATTTTGTGTTTAGAAAGTAAAAAGTAAAGGTGCCAAACGGACTTTGTCAGAATGCATGAGCAGATGGCTCACTCCTCCCCAGAATGAAGAGCAGCAGGAGAGAGGGAGCAAGCGGACAGGGAGACTAGAGATGCTGCATTGCAGCTAAATGAGTCAGGGAACTTCTGTTAGAAGATGAAGTTAGGACTGTTCCTGTTAGGAGAACTAATATTTGTTAGAGCCAGAGTGTATGGTTTTGTATGACTCTAAAATTTAGAGTAATTCCAAAGATATACCAGCTCATAATTTATCAGAATTTCTGCCCACCCTCACCTCCTGCCAAAGGGGGAAGACCCACTCCCACCGCGTGCTGCCCCTCCCAGCACACCCCTGGGCTGATGCGGATAGACAAGCCTGTGTATGGCGAGGTCCACTGGTTCTGAGATGGAGCTAACACTGGCTGCCTCTGCCTCTGCCGGTATCTGGGGTTTCTGTGGAATGCCAGTTTTAGCTCACTTTACTTGCATTCTCTCCTGAGCTATCTGCTGTTCTTGCCAGAGAGCTCAGGAGCCCTAATTGAGTCAGTCGCCCAGGGTCTTCAGAACTCTGAGATATGGTTTTGCAGGAAGGTGCCGAGTATTCGGAGTGAAACTTCGTGGAGGTGCTTGCTGGGTTCTTTCAGAGCGTTATTTTGGCCTCTTGTTTTCTCTTTAGGAAACATTTTCTTCCCCTGCTTCATGGCTGAAATAAAAAGCTGTGGCCCGCCAGCGTGGCCCTCTCCCTTGGTGGACGGTCGCTGTTGGGAGCACAGGAAGTGAGTCTCCACGGATGGATGCGGCTTCCCCCACCCTCTCACTTCTACCCCTGGCTAGCTGGCTCTGTAGGCTCTTTCAGAACCAGTTGCACTCTAATACGCAACTCCAGCCAGAGGTTTAAGATGTTTAAGATCTTTATAGCTTAAAAAAAAAGATTTCTGGTTTGGTTTGTCCTGCTCAGCCTTGGAGCACCATCATTGGCGAGCGTGCCAGCATCAGCATTGGCGAGTGTGCCAGCGTCACCACCGGTGAGCATACCATTATTCTCAGCATTGTGGTGGCAGAGAGGATTGATTCTAGAGACTTGAGCAGTAGGATTTAGCATTGTTAGGTAGTTGAGACATATCAGAAAGTCCATAGTGGCCTGAGTTTTAAATCCAAAGCATCCTTTTTGCTTGAGACCCTAGGACCTTGGAGTTTTCCCCGAGACCAGACAGAGGCCGGGGCATATGCTATGAATGGAACAGAACATTGCTCAGAGGAGCAGAGGCCTTTGGGATATGGCAGCGTTGTCAGTCTTGGCAAGTGAGCCTCAGAACCCACTGCCTCTGAATTGGCAGACCTGTGCTCTTGGGCTTACCTCTACTGCCCTGCCTGCCCATGCTAGCCTTTCCTCTGTGGCAGTGTTGTATTAGGGCTCAGCTCAGCTCCTTTGTTGATCAGGCCTATAAACCGTGGCTGGACACACTATACTGAACCATCCTTTCCTCAGGATGCCAGGATGCAGAGAGAAGCCCAAGGCCCATTCCACCAAGCCCCACAATGAGAGGGCTGGCACGGCATTTCTCATTTTATAGTTCTACAAGTAACCCTATAGATGGTCTTTCTTTCCTCCAGCGCTCTGAAGAACCCTGCCCCTATGCACACTGACAAAGGCCTCGTCCACTTGTCGGTCGGCACAGCCCTCTCAATTCCCCACTCAGCAGGGGTGCACAAAGATTGCTAAAATAGGATGGGATGCAGCTTCGCAATTTTCTATCACCTTCCCTACCAGAGGGAAAAGTAATGTGAACTTAAATGTCTTTTGGAACAAAACCAAAGTTTAGGATTTGCCATATGACGTAGTGACAGGGAAGCCCAGAGTTGGCAAGAGGCACCAGGCTTCCCGTCCCTGCCGGCCAGTGCTTTGCCAGGTGCAGGTTGCCGTGGAGTCCCTGAAGCCACAGGTGCAGGCTGATCTCCTGGTTCCATGCATTGTAACAGTAAGAATTGGAGCGCTGACTTGACATTGTCTTCAAGGACTTGCTGCGTGCACTCCTCACCGGCACATCCTTCTGCATCTGTTTGTATGGAGTAACACAAGCTAATCTGTACCTTTATGTATATGTGTGTGTACATATATACATGTATAAACTGTATAGTGTACATGTTGATGATTTATCAGTCTGGTTTTCAGTGCAGTCCTCACCCTCCACATGCCCTCAGCTGTGGTCTGCTGACTTCCTGGTGTTTTGAACCTCCAGGGAGGGGGGGTTGGGCTGCACTCTCCTTATCCTCGTGCACAGAAATGCTCAGGGTCCCCACGTGCCTGTTGTCTTCCCCCGTTGTCCTTGGTTCCCTTTCTGAGCATGTGGCCCCTCCCGGCTGTGAGGGGCGGCTGCCTTCCTGGGAAAGTGCAAAGCAGGATCATGACCACCACTGCATGTGCACTGAGAACTCCAGATTTCTGCCCACTTGGGACAGAACATTGCATGCGAGGTGGGATTGTCAAGTTTCAAAGACCTGTGTCAATTATATAGCAAAGCCAGACCCCATAATGAAATCCCACAAAATGGAAATAAAACGCAAAATTTCTTTAGCATTGTGTAAATAAATCCGGATGTGTTTAACTTTGTACTGGTAATTTTCTGTATATTTGCAATATTTGGGTTAGAAATAAAACAGCCTGGACTTTGGTACCTAACCTACTAAGATGAGTAAGCCACGGTTTCTTCGTAAGCTTTCTACCTTCAAAACTTAGATGCTTCTCGCTTGAAGCTAGCTTGTGCACTTCTAGCTTGAAGGGTGGTGGATGCTTTGAGGAAATGACTCCTAAACGAACAGTTGCTTGCCCAAAGTTTTCTAACTTTCTTGTCCTTTCACTGTCTTGATCTTTATGCTCCCTGAGGTCTGCCTCCCACGGTGCGGTATGTGTTGGACCGTCCCTCTTGTCACACCCTGAAAGCTCAGCAGCCCACCACACACTTTCTCCAGTGTCTGTTTCTATACTTCTGGACACAACAGCATAAGGTTACAGTCCCGAACTGTGTCTTCCCTGGGGTGGCTTTGTGAAGTGCACACAAAAGGTCAGCTGAGGCCACTCACTCGTTCCGTCCTCCCTTGCTCCTCTCACAGTCCTCCAGAGTCTCAGCATCCTCATTTCAAGCATTGCCCACCTGCCTTCAGTCATTAGTCATCCCACCTTACCGTGGGGTAGCATTTTGAGCCAATACTTCCATTCACTGCTCCCACATCTTGGTCTTGAGATGCCAGGGCACAGGTCTTGTTTTGAAGGGGCCACCCTCAGGCAAGAGTTTCTAAGGACTAAATCTAGCGTGTTCTAAGACTGCACCAGAAAGCCCAGGCTGCCCTAAAATTGATGGTAATCCTCCTACCTCTACCTCCAGAGTGCCCTGCTCTGAATTGAACCTTCTGATGGGCAGACCAAAGGGGAGGAGTTTCTATTTTTTAAATTTGATTTTGTTTTCTTTTGTTTTTTTGAGACAGGGTTTCTCTGTGACTTTGGAGGCTGTCCTGGAACTAGCTCTTGTAGACCAGGCTGGTCTCGAACTCACAGAGATCCGCCTGCCTCTGCCTCCCGAGTGCTGGGATTAAAGGCATGCGCCACCACCGCCAGCTAAATATGATTCTTTATACATTCTTTAATATGAGAGACAAAAAAGTGGCTTAGGTTACTTTTTCCATAGAAACATAGCTAGATACTGAGTAAAAAAGGGGGTCCCCCTAAGCAGGAGAGAGCAGTCAGTAGCATGCCTACCATACAAACATAGGATTTGAGTTCAATCCTCAAGATCATTTAAGAATCTCATGCACAGCTCCGGAAAGCTGTCCTCTGACCTTCAAATGTGGATGCAGCATGCAGATGACTCAGCCATTAAGATCACTGATTACTCACTCCAAAGACCTGGGTCTAGTTCTCAGCACCCACGTGGCAACTCTTAGTCCCAGAAGATCTGATGCCCTCCTTCTGACCTTGAGAGGCACGAGGAATACAAATGATGCAAAGACATAAATGCAAAGATTTACATAGATAGAGGATTGCTGGCCCCTGAGTTAGGAGACTGGGGTGGGCGATGGGAAACCAAATGATCTGAGTGGAGGGTGCATGTGTAGCAAATGGCTTTGGGTGTAGCTGGCTAGCACTGACTGTGGTTTTGCTGTATCCCAGGCACAGTCCTGGCATCAGCCTCTCGTTACACAGACCTGAGGTTCAGAGCTATCAGCTGGTGGCTGAATGGTACAGCCAGATGTCACATGTCCCTGTCCCTGGGGAGCTTTCCTCCAGGACTAGGCTGCCTCTCACTTCATTTGTGCTTTATCTCATAGGAAGAAAGCCATTGACAGCTTTCAAAGGGGGAAATGCTGGTCTGACCTAAAAATAGCTTCCATTTATCCAGCACTTAGTCAGCTACACGCTGCTAAACACTTTAGAGAGATTACCTCTTCTAATCCTCATAACCCTATGGTTATTATTACCTCCATTTCACAATTGAAACCCAACTTATGAGAGGCTGGGGGTGGGGATCTGGGGGAGGGCTTGCCCAGCAAGCGCAAGGCCCTGGGTTCAAGCCCCAACACACACACACACACACACACACACACACACACACACACACACGAGGGGAGGAAGGAAACAAGCCCAGTACACACATACACAGAGGGACAGACAGACTATAGGGTGTCATAAGTCACATAGCTAGCTGATGACAGAGCTCATGTAGCCAAAGTACTCTGGCTCAGAGGACTGACTGTCCTCACCCTTGCCCTGGGACAGCAAAGGGAGGCCTCATGAAGGCCAAGGTGTGGAGACCTGCTGTTCAGTGAGTGTGCGAGCAGCTAAAGGTGAGCCCAAGAGTTCACTGGCCTTGGAACCTTCAGCTCTGCTGATTTAACTGGAGGTCAGGAGCAGAAGTTATCACTCAAGCCTCCCACCAAAGACAGAAGTCCCTCTCATATACTCGGTGCTCAAGCTCTCCCCTCCCTCCTAATGCTGTAGGGGTGTCATCTCACTCCCAAGATAACAAGGCCACCTCAGCCCCCCTCCTGTGGCTATTCTGGGCTGCTCTCTGATCCTCCTCTTCCCCTGGCCCCTACTTCACCCTTCAGTGGGAGTAGGTGGGTGGGGAAAAGTCAGCCCACTTACATAAGCTTGTGGCCTTGTGGCCGGCGGACCCCAGGGAGACCAGCCTGGAGAGCAGATGCTCAGCCCCTCCCTCAGCAGCAACAAAGAAAATCTTCCTCTGGAGCCCAGCATGGAGGCAGTCACCGCACTGGAGGAGGCCTCATGTTCCCAGCGGCAGGTAGACTCGGCTGCTGGCCCAGCGGATGCTGAAGGACCCCAGGAGGTAGACAGCCCCTCTCTGCAGCTCCGGCCCTCTATTGAAGGTGACCTATGGCAGTCGGGGAAGGTGGGGATGCTGAGCAGTGTGGGAGGGAGAACTTCCTACAGCCCTGAATACACTGTAGAGGTCCACCCACCCCTGCGTGCAGGCTTTAAGAACGTTAAGGAACGGCGACTTAGGGTAATACAGGAATATTCACGGGAGCCCTCACACGCCTTCTCGAATTGTGACTTGCTACTCAGATATCTCTGTTGTGGGCTTGCTCTTTAGCTGAAAAGTCAGTGCAGTGACTAGCAATGATCTGGTTATTTTTTTACCATCGAAAAGTCGCAGGTCCTGGGAAGACCCAGTAGACTAACAGCCAATTGGAAAGGGAACAGGGTGGGAGGGTGGGGGTAAGATAGTGGGCATCTCTAGTGGAAGAGTGGTCCCAAAAGCATATGAGGAGGCTGAGTATCTTGGATGGCATGATACCTGCCTCCGCCTGGGTCACGCTACAGCCTCAGGACCTACCCTAACGTCCCACACTAGCTCATCTGACCATGGCCTCTCAAAGTCGGAGTTCTGTGGAAGTACAGCCTTTTAGGGAGAAGTACTCCGTTTCTACTTCCCAGAGGTTATTTGGTGCCTGTTCCAGCCCCATCGCCCTGCTAGCTGCCCCATCACCAACTGTTCAGGCTGAGCCCTCCCCCCAGCTCACCTGGGAAACTGCCAGGAGCCCAAATGAAAGCGTCTCCACTGCACCTGGGCAAGAGACCCAGGACTTAAGAAATGGCTCTTTTCTTCTTCATGATAGTCTTTAACAGCCCTGTGACTGTACTAAACACTTAGCCCAGCAAACTCCCTGTGTTATACCCCCTTCCATTTGCAGAAGATTGGGAGACCATACACAAGGAGTCCATGAACTCCCAGGAAGAGAAGAGGTAGAAGGGAAAAGAAGACATTCTAGACTGGCAGGCAAAGTCCCAGGCTCTTTTCCCAGGTTGACCTCAAGCACCACGGTGACCTTGGACAAGTCAATTTAACTGTTCCGTTTCAGTCCTCTGTAAAACGACTTTAAAGATCTCCCAAAGCAGGAAGATTAGAGGGGTGATCTGGTTTACATTGGAAGAGGCTAATCCAACATGGAACATTTCCAATGAAGAGATGACAACCTAGTTCTGTCTCCAAATAGGGCCCGAAAGCAGAGTTGCCCACTCTTTACCCTACAGAAAATGCTAATAGGAGCTGCCTGCCTGAATGTCAAGGACAGAGAGTTGGCAGAGTTCATCTCATTGAAGGAGATGTAGGAGAGTTACTGTGTACATAAGATGAGACAGGAACAGAAACCCAGTTTCTTCCTCTAAAAGTCCAAGAGAAACCAGGGCAGAGGAGATGGAAAGCCAGAACACTGACTCCCTGACTCTCCTGGTCTCCACTCTGCAGGGCAGAGCCCCGTATCAACCAGGCTTTCCCTTCCGCTCAGGGGCACAGTGAGCAGCTCACTCTAGCAATCCCTGCCCTCCCCCGCCCGGGGCCAGCCAGAAGCTCCAGCCTCCCATATAGCAACTCTGTACCGCAGTTCTCAGGGCCACAGCTGGTGTACTGCTCAACACAGAGGTGAGTGGGTTTAAGGATGTCCTTTGACACACTGCAAAGTCTGTATGTGTCTACTACTAGCTTCTTGAAAGATGACAACACAAACTCAAATCTTAACTCTATCCTGCCACCATGGAAGAATCAGGACATCTCCGAGCCTTCATTGTCTCCTCTGGAAATTGAGAAAGCTGAACTTGTATCCCTTTGATGCCAGCGTCGCCCCCCTCCCCAAACCTGATAAAAGCTATGGGCTCTCAACCCTGGATAAACCAAAAAAGTTCCTGAAGTTGACAGAGCCTCTGAAACCCATCCAGCAATCTTGAAGGACACCTAGAATGGACCTGTGACTCCTAAATTCTCTGAGAGCTAACACTGCCTGTTCCTCATAAAAGGCACAGGGTCTGAGGGGTGCTGCAAAGAGCATGTGACAGCCAAGCGGGCACAAATAGGACAGGCTGCAACTGACCCATAAGGTGCTTTCAGTCCAACCACATGGCCAAATCGGCAGGATGACGCGGCTGGCATTGGCACCATCTGTCCCCAGCACCCACGGAGGTACTGTGTCCAGGAGTTGAGACCTGAAGGAGCTAAAGGAGAGGCTAGAGAAGTGGATATGCCCCTGAGTTGGAGAGGCTGGGCCCGGAGACAGAGGTCAGCTGCTAATTTCAACCGAATTGCTCTGCACCTGCGGCCCATCTGAACTTCCGAGTGTCTCCCAGGCGTGGGACTGATCTCAGGCCCAGGAGTAGTCAGCCTGCATTGC